CATGAATCTCTTCTTGAATCTATAGAATTTCATACATAAAAGGTTTAAACCCCTATAACAGTACCAAAACAAGTCTATAAATCTGACTTAAAAGAAGAATTTTCGTTTACTTGTTGAGCAGAGGTATAAAGTGATAAAGACGAAAAAGAATTCATATTGTAAAAAGTAAGGTCACTGACAATTTAAGAATGATGATTCTCCTTGAACAAGAACATCAATTAATAATAAGAGTTTATGTGATAAGCAGTTTCAAAAACATGTAATCAACAACTAAAACGATACTTTAACCAACAACACAAAATACAACTAAAACGATATATGGTCATAGTATTAAAAATATGTTTTTGTCTGAACCTTTTCTAACCAATTTCTTAAATTTATGAAGCACAAAGGCATTTCTTTTTCCAGGTGGCTGGACAGAACAGCAAATCACAATCAGTTAAAAAAACCACATATACCTCAGCAAATTTCTCCCTGGCACATATATTCTGCTCAGTAGCTACCATGACAAGATCATCAAGATTTCGGTTGCTTGAAGACTTCTCCAATTCTAGCATGTTTATCTTTTGGACAGAACATATATTGGTTAATCAAAAAGCCATAATGAAAGCAAGAGAAGCTACTTAAATAGTCGCTCCAGTTGTAAGTAGATAAAAGAAGACATGCACCTTCTCTTGGAGTTGCTTAATGAGAAGAATAGCTTCTGGATCTCTTAAGTTTACAACATGCTCATCCCAATGCACGTTGCCAACAACTTCTGATTGCTTGCATTTTGCATCACCAGATAAACCATCTTCACTCAACTTTGCCTTAAGGCACTCAATTTGTATTTCGCTGATGATTCTCTATTGAAGGGTGTGGAGAAATAAGAAATAAAAACCATAAACTACCGATATTGAGAAGAACAAACTATTACCTCGGTTTCATATTGCAAGAGAAGATCCTCATATTCCCTTTGAATTCTATCTAACTCGTTTTCAACCTATGAAACACTAACAAAATGTCAGCTTTACAACAAGAAGAGCAAAAGATACATTCAAAAGAGGAACACTGACCACTACAGGAGTTTTCTGCCTAATTGATGGTTTCTTTCTGCTTGTCACATTCACTAATGCACATGGATCTGGAAGTGCAGAATCTTCAAGGGTTCCATCGATACTATCTTCATCTTCCTCGTTAATGTTATATAAAGGTTCATTTACTAGTTCCGAAAATGGAAGTAGTGGACCAGTCTCACGCTCGGATCTTGCAGATTCAAGAGAGGATCCCCTTGACAAAATATTAGACTGAACCTGATACGAAAGAAACAAAATATTTTTATGGTTGCCAAAGTCAACATTTTCTCGTGTTTGTTAGTCATTTATACAACATTCACCTCTGATGTGGAGTCTCGTGAAAGCTTACCAATACACCATGTATCCCTCCTTTTTCCCTGCAAGCAAACAACATATCAAATCTAAGAAGAGATGGGAAGACATTGCGACAAAATACTTAAATAATTCACTTAACAGTGTCATACTAATATCAACAGTATTCAACAACAATATGCTGAGATTATTCTAATTAAACTAGTCAAGAATTAGGTTACAGGTCACATAGCATATCTTGTTCCACTATAAAATCAAATGTTTACTCTCTTTCCACTATGGTTCCGTAATTTGAAGTTTAGCCATAAATGCTAGCACCTAGCCATGCTGTTATAAACTCTCAAGGTATCGAAAACTAAATTGATGGAAGAAACAGGAAAAACCTTCTTAAATTGATCCTGTTCACGCTTCTCATCTCTATTCGAAAGGAGAACCATTGAACTCAAGTTCTTAATTTTTTTTGCTTGCTCCTGCAAAACTCTTTCCCTCTGAGCTTGTGCCTTCTTCTCCTCTTCTAACTCAAGTGCTATCCGCTCTCTCTCTAACTCAGACTGCAGAAAAACAGGATATATCAAAAACATATGAAAGAATAAACAATTAAGTAATCAAGAACAAAAATGCCATACCTTCAACAAGGTATTGCGCAAGTTAAGAATCTCTTCTTCTGAATGGTCAGAGTGAGAAGTCTGCAATAGAATAGCTGATATTTAACCTGCAACTAAAACATAAGAGAACTTTTAAGAAAACGATTTAGAAACCTTTAGTTTGGATCTGAGCTCCTCTATCTCCTTCTTCTGGCGCTTTAATAGAGCAGCATCAGTCAATATCTGTATTGAAAACACAAGAATAGATGGATAATTAGTTTTTAAGAAAATGCACATCCTTCTAACAGTCTTAATCAGAAAACATGTTAAAGATGGAGAGAATAAGTGCAAAATGATTCGGATCCAACCTCATTGACATGGGCACAGTTAGTGACACGCAGTGCTCGGCTAGCGAACTGAAGACTGCTCTTGGTTTCATCTGCATGAATCTAACATCAAAACGAAGATTAACATTGTTGATTGCACAAAGAAAACAAAGAGAAAATGAAGACTGCTCTTTAATTTATTGGTGATTAATACATACCGGTGCAAGTGTTATATTGCATATAATAGCTGTATTTGCATTTCCACCTAAGGCGGGCTGCAAGATCCTTGTAAGCTTGCTGTCTCGGTAGGGGACATGACCACTAACTCAACCAAAGAAAATGCCAATAAGATTAGACAATTAATGCTTATGTACCCATATGCTTCATTCCCTAACAAAAGTGACCAAAAAAAACCTACCCTTGATTTTCTACTCCTTCACTCAGTTTTTTAATGACAGTCCCGAGTGTCATCAAGCTTTTGTTTATATGTGAGCCCTCCTTCAACCTAACACCCTCTGCACCGGTTTTTGCAGCCCGTTCTGAACCAGCTAGATCCACCAAATTCTACAAGTGAAAAGAAAGAAGAAAGATGACACAGAAAATAATATTTTGCGTGGAAGGGGGAACAAAAACACTAGTTCCAATGGAATAATACCAGAACTGAAACACGGACTGCATCACAGGCATTTCCAACACCTTCATCTTGCATCTTCTGTCTACTTTCTATAATCTGTTCACGAAGAAGCTGGCAAGTCAAAAACCAACTTACATTTAATTGAGGGCTAAGGTTGAGTATATTTACCATGCGGAAAATAGTGTGAGATCTGCTACTGTAAAGATTCATATTTGTCTCCCCAATATGCCGATGAGCTGAAATTATATTTCCAAAGACAAAAGAAGATCCATCAACTAAATCAATATTAGCGAAACCAAGATTGGAGACAGAAGATTACAACCAGGAGATGCATACAAATGCATGTGCACGGGTGAAGAAAACACAAGAACTATGTTTGAAACAAACAAAATAGAGAAAACAATGAGAAGAAAACAGAAAGTACATTCTCCAAATTCCATCATTTCAAGAACTTGTTGAGGGGAAGCGACAATCTCTTCTCGCAATCCAGCAACAAATATTCCTTTCTATAACATTAAGATTGGAAAACACATCAGAATCGCTAGAGAATTTGTTACAGGTGATTCTAAGAAGACATATAAGTACCTCTAGATTTTCATGAATCTGTAGTTTTCTGTGCTCAGGAGCCAACAAATCGTTGATATCTTCATTATAAATCTCCAGGTACGACATACGCAACAGAAACTCTCTACTTGCATCCTAGGGGTTAAAGAAAAAGAAAAACAGTTGTTCCTCAAATCAATAACTTTCCACAAATAACACCAAATCTATAAAAATCCAGTAATCACATCAATTCACAACGAATGGTAAGCAAAATTGTGGGATGAACCTGATATATAGTGTCAAACAAATCATGTACAGCGAGAGGGATGACTCCAGGTTCAATAGGTGAGCCTCGCATTGTATGTGTCTTGCCACTATTAGTTTGCCCGTAAGCAAAGACGGTTCCTTCAAACATCATTAGCCAAAAAGGAGTAAGGGAGATTGAAATCAAAGAAGCACAAATTACTGAGATATTAAAATTGTAGCAAAAATTGAAACAGCTAAGTAAATCAGATTACTGAGATATCAAAAAATTGGAGCAACAATTTGGAACAGATAAGTAAATAAGCTAAACCCATAAGAATAATTGTTGAGTTTACCGTTGAATCCACGAACGGCGGCAGCAACAATCTCCTTGGTCCGTGCCTCATACACTTGAATAGTTTTACAATCTTCTCTAAAAATCCGATCTGTTATTGTAGGAAAAGAGAGAGATATTGGGTATGAAAATTGCAAGCAGAAGAAGAAAGTGGAAAAGAGAAGTGAGAAGGGAATTGAGAAAAAAGAGTACCAAATTCAAAAGATAGAGAAGAGTGATTGGGCATGAAAATTGAGTCGGAAGAGATCTTCCACGGACTTGTCTTCTCGTCCTCCGACGAAAGCGGTCGCGCTCTGACTGAGACATGGATTCTCTCCATTCTCCGGTAATCTTCTCCGGCGAAGAAAGAAAGACCTAAAACTCTCTCTCAGGTGTTCGAAATTAGTTTTCCCTCCCTCTTCAGTAAATCTGGTTTATCTTTAAATTTTTCGAATTTTAAAAATCGTATCGAACCGGTTTGGTAATAAACCAGACAATCTCGCGTCCCCAACCAAATATTTTAAAATACGCCTCGTTGGAGTTTGAACTATATTTATGGATTTTTTTTTTGACATTTATTAATGTTTCGAAGTTTGGATATTGGTTAAATGTAATTATGTACGTCTCAACACAAAAAAAAATTAAAACGAAACTAGAAATATAACTTATAGAAAGAAAATGTATAAAACTGATATTTGAACGTAAACTTCCCAAACAAATACAATTTTTGCAGATATTTATCCCTAAAAAAAAGATCCTTCAAACACGTAACTAAAGACAACGAAAACTTCGTACTTTTCGGTTAATCTAACTAAGTACAGTTACATTAAAAAGTTAAAAACTAAAAAATAAATCAAATACGGATAAAGTTAAAAGTGGAGTAGGAAACTTCCAGGAAATTGCCAATGAGTAAACTCTCACACTTATCACTCCCCCATTTATATAACTAAGTTGTTCACTTTCTTCATCAAATCACTATTAATTCACACTATGAAACTCGCCAAAATAAATCCAAAACGTTTCTTCATCAGATCCAAAGATCGTTCCACTGTTTCTAAATCCCACGCGACTTCTTCCTTCGGATCCGCTTCCTCATCTTCCGGCCAAGACTGTAAAAACTCCGGCGGTGATGGCGGTGGCGGTTCCGTTACGCCGACTAGCATTCTCCCGGAGGTTCCTTCTCCTTATTCCTACGTCGAGATTCTCCAAGCGTTTAAATTGATAGACAGAGACAACGATGGAGCTGTCTCTACACACGATCTTGAGTCGTTACTTAGCCGGCTCGGTCCTGATCCTTTGACGGAGGAGGAGATCAACGTTATGATTAAAGAGGTGGATTGCGACGGCGACGGTACGATCCGTTTAGAAGAGCTTGCGAGTCGTGTCGTCTCTTTAGATCCGGCTCGTGACTCGACTGAGCTAAAGGAGACTTTTGAGTTCTTTGACGCGGATCGTGACGGTTTGATCTCGGCTGATGAGCTTCTTAGAGTTTTCTCGACCATTGGAGATGAACGGTGCACGTTAGATGATTGCAAGCGCATGATAGCAGATGTTGACGAGGACGGTGATGGATTTGTATGCTTCACTGAGTTCTCACGAATGATGGATCTTCAGCGTTGATCTTCCTTTTTCTTTTATTTCAGGGTTTTTTTTTTTTAACTCTCTGTTTTTTTTTTTTTTTTTTTTTTGCTATGAAGCTCTTTTTGCCCTTGTTCTATCTAGGGTTATGAGTATCTTTTGTTTTCTTGAGAATTAGTTTTTTCTTTAAGCTGAATGTCTATAATCTGAAGATTCTGATATTAAAACTTTATTTTGAAGATTTACATAAAAAAAAAAGTTTAGAGAATCTAAATGTCTAAAATGTGAAGATATACATAATCCATTCTTAAATGATGAAAAAAAATCCATTCTTAAATAAAATTGCATTAGATTTGAGAATTTATAGCGTTTGCAGCTTTTTAAGTAAATTGTCGGTTTTGGAAATAAGTATTTTTATGCAGTCAAAATTCATTTATAGAGCTGAGAACATGTGAGGCACCACAAGTTTAACTTTTTTTAATATACTCCATTAAATTGGAAAAGAAAAACAATGGTCCAATTTGTCAGATACTCAGATTCCTTGAAGGCATGTTCTTTGATTGCTCCTTTGAATATAGTACGTATAAGATACTTTCTTCTTACCATTTTCTATTTTTTTTTTTGTTCTACTGCCATTTTTGCAAAATGTTACTCCCTCCGTATTTTAATAAGTGTCGTTTTAGAATTTTCATTTTTTTAAATTGGATGTCGTTTTCAAATTTCTATGCAAAATTTATTACTTTTTAATGTTTATGAAACATTAAAAAGTAATAAATTTTGCATAGAAATTTGAAAACGACATCCAATTTAAAAAAATGAAAATTCTAAAACGACACTTATTAAAATACGGAGGGAGTAGTATAATATTCAGTTGTTTCTATGTGACTAGCTCTATGTTAATTAACGTAGATCGTCAGTGTATGATTCGTATGATTTCGTTTAATATCGTATGTATCTAGCAACATTTCTTCTTAATCATGAACGTCTGATTAAATAAGAATTTGTTTTTAACTATGCATCTTTTGATGTAACGAACACTAGTTATGTCTTTTAAATCTTCTAACTGTTTTACACTCTTCATGTTAAAAATTCTTACCATTTTATCCATCCATCTCTTGTGTTTCATTTTTCTTATCAATAAAGCACTTTTAAGTTAAAAAAAAAAAGAAATAAAAAAAAATAATAGCACTTTTTTAATTCTTACCATTACGATTGAATTTGAATCAAGTAAAAGACAATAATATTGCTATGATTGATAATAGAAATACATGTAGATGAAAGATGCGTGTGAAGAAGATAATAGTGAAGCAATAAAATAGTCCAAACATGCATAAATATATGAATTCAGATCAGACTAATTTGGAGGTTGATGAAGAAGGAGAGTTTCGAGTTGTCGAAGCAGGAGGTCTTTTAGCGAAACAGCTACAATATCCGTTGTAACAAATCGGCATCTTTCCTGTTCTCTTACATCTTGGAATCCCAATCTCAACACAATCTCTGTCCGTTTGACATATATCTCCAACACTCATTGTTACCATGCCTGTACGTTCAATAGTATAAGCAAATTAAGGAATAAGGATTGATATTGAAAACTATAAGTGTTTGATACATCCAGATTGACATAAATTACTTACACGACGAGACAAGGAAGAGAATGACGAAGAATGCTGAAATTTTCTCCATTTTTTTCACTTATTATATGATTGGATTCATAGGTGTCCCTTCTAATTTATACAACTCGTGATTAATGGTTTGGTCTTTGTTCAAATCTAATATGTCCAAAATAATTGGTCAAAAAGTAAAGTATTTCCTTATTCTTTTGTCAACGAATATTCTTTTTTCAACTTGTGATTATTAAGTTTCCAAACAGTGAATCATTAGAGATTACGAGATAGAATTATTTCAAGAAAGTATCATAATTCATAACTTAAATATTATGTATCTTGATTCAAATCGATCTCATAATCTCCAAATCATCCTAATATGGAAAGTGCAACTAAATTAAAAAAAAAAAATTTCGCTCGTGTGTCACATTTATCAATCGGGCCGTCCCAAAATTTTCTGCTGTTAGAAACTTATAAATTATATACACCCGTTCCAAATGTTTTTTGGAAAAAAATAAAACCACATGATTTAAAAAGAAAATTGCAACAAAAAGGAAGTGTTTTTTTTTTTTTTGAATATTTCGAACAAAAGATTAAAAATAACAGTAGAGAAAAATAACGAAATATATATATATATATATATATTATGAAAATTAAAGATATTATTCATCTAATAATTTATTTTGACGTGGACTAAGTGAGGACGTGACAAGTCTCGAAGGCTGAAGACCACTCTCACTCTGCTTACTTGATAGATTGTTGAATTCAAAAGTAAAGTAGAAACGAATCCCGAGGAACACCAAGAAACGATAGATACTTCTTCAAGTAGAAGAAGAAGAAAGAGCGACAGAAACAATGGGAGGTTCTGTGTTTGGTCCAGCCAGATCAGGGCAGACGATAATGGTTGCTCTCGTTCTTATGGTTGGATCATTTTACACTGGCTCTCTCTTCGGAACCAACCAACCCATTTACGTCTCTCAACCTTTTTCTCACTCTGGTCCCTTCTCTCTCACTCTCTGTTCTTTATTCTTCAAAAAATTTTCTCTGCATGCGTTTGGATTCTTGTGGAATTTTGCGTGATTTGATTAATTTTCTTTTTTTGCCTCTAGAGGCTATTAATCAAAAACTCCCCTCAAAATTGAGCAATTCTTGTCTTGGAGGATTGTTGAGTTTTGTTGTGGGATTTAAGTTGATCAATGAAAATGAAGTCAGATAAATTTAACAATGTGTGTTGTTGTTGTTGTTTTTTTGTAGCTTCTTCCAAATTTGCAAACAAAGTCGAGCTTACTTATAGAAGATTACCACTAGTCATACCTGAAACTGGGATGAATGTGTGTCCATTGGAGTTCAATGAGTATATACCTTGCCACAATGTCACCTATGTGCATCAGCTGCTTCCAAGCTTGAATCTTTCTAGAAGAGAAGAGCTTGAAAGGCATTGCCCGCCACTCGAGCAGCGCCTTTTTTGCTTGGTACCTCCGCCAAATGATTATAAGATACCCATAAGATGGCCAACCAGTAGAGACTATGTATGGAGAAGTAATGTGAATCATACACATCTTGCTCAAGTTAAAGGTGGCCAAAATTGGGTGCATGAGCAAGGTCAGTTTTGGTGGTTCCCTGGTGGTGGTACTCATTTTAAGCATGGAGCTGCAGAATACATCCAGAGGTATTTATTCGGCTAAATTTCGCCAAGAAAAGGTTATACTGTGTGAAGATGTATGTCTAATTAATGCATTGTCTTGAATTTTGTATGTATCTTCAGGTTAGGGAATATGATGACTAATGAAACAGGTGACTTGCGTTCGGCTGGGGTGGTACAAGTTCTTGATGTTGGCTGTGGCGTTGCCAGCTTTGCGGCTTATCTTCTTCCTTTAGGTATACAGACAATGTCATTTGCTCCCAAAGATGGTCATGAAAACCAGATTCAGTTTGCATTGGAAAGAGGCATCGGTGCAATGATATCCGCGGTTGCCACCAAACAAATGCCTTATCCTGCAGCCTCGTTTGAGATGGTTCATTGTTCGAGATGTCGTGTTGATTGGCATGCAAATGGTATGTATGTATTCTTCTGTTGAATTTGGTTAAAAGAAGTTTACTTCTCTTTGCAGTGATAATGCTTCCACTTGATTCTTCAGATGGTATCTTACTTAAAGAAGTTCATCGTCTTCTCCGACCAAATGGATTCTTTGTGTATTCATCGCCACCAGCTTACAGAAAGGATAAAGAGTATCCTATGATTTGGGATAAATTGGTCAATCTAACTAGTGCAATGTGCTGGAAGCTCATTTCCCGGAAGGTACAGACTGCAATATGGATTAAAGAAGAGAGCGAGGTGTGCCTTAGGCAGAATGCAGAACTAAAGCTCATAAGTTTATGTGATGTGGAAGATGTTTTGAAACCATCATGGAAAGTTCCTCTGAGAGATTGTGTGCAAATCAGTGGACTAACAGAAGAGAGACCCTCTTCTTTACTTGAACGTCTTTCTGCTTATCTGGGGACTCTAAGAAAAATAGGTACAACATTTCTTATGCTCAAAATCATTGAAGAGGTGGCATTATTAGGTTCTGTTAGATTTCCTAACCACTTTAGCAAAACTTTCATTCAGGGATCAGTGAAGATGAATATACATCAGATACAGTCTACTGGAGAGAACAAGTTAATCACTATAGGCAGTTAATGAATGTCAATGAGACTGAAGTCAGGAATGTGATGGACATGAACTCATTCATTGGTGGGTTTGCTGCAGCTATGAATTCGTATCCTGTTTGGGTAATGAACATAGTACCTGCTACCATGAATGATACCTTGTCTGGAATTTTCGAGAGAGGCTTAAATGGAGCTTTCCATGATTGGTAAGCCTAATAGAGTTTAGTCTATCAAACACTTGTTTTGTTTTGTTTCTGATCCTTGCCAACAAGCGTCAGCACCACTTAACTAAAAAGCAAATGTGTCTTAGGTGTGAGCCGTTCTCAACATATCCACGCACGTATGATTTGCTGCATTCCGATCATGTCTTCTCTCATTACCAAAGCTACGGAGATGGTTGTTTGCTAGAGGATATCATGATTGAGATGGACCGCATAGTTCGCCCTCAGGTACCTTTGCAATAACTAATGGTGACATTACTGTTGAATAAAAAAAAACACTTGTGGTCTGGTCTTTTATTAATGAGGGGTTTGTCGGGGTTGGGCAGGGGTTTGTCATAATAAGGGACGAGGAATCTATCATCTCAAGGATCCGAGACTTGGCTCCTAAATTCTTGTGGGAAGTGGAAACTCATGAGCTTGAAAACAAAGACAAGAAGACAGAGACTGTTTTGTTTTGCAGAAAGAGATTCTGGGCTATCATTTGAATAGACTCGTTATTTTTGCTTTCTGATGCAGCTTAGCTCTGATGATAGTTTACGATAATAATAAATTGATTATACTCTCTATTGGGTCTAGTTTGATACACACGAGTGTTTAGTACATTAGATTACTCTATACAACAGATACAAACATAGAGGTTCTATGAGACCCATCTGTTCTCGTAGCGGTTGAGAGAGAACGATGAAGACTGAACCTCTGCTAACTGGAAAGGATCCGGTTCGATTCCATAGTCCGTTAATGGTCTATGCTCGAGCACATTGTCGTGGTTCTTCACAAAGTCGGGAATTTCTACCTCGCCTTTCTTTATTTCCTCCCAAAGGTACTGCAACCTGCTCACATACTTAATCTTCCAATACAGTCTGCAATGATGAAATAGATATTGTTTTGACAAAAACAGTTAATTCCACAGTTCTTGATTCAAAGGTAATCTACACATCCGTTTCAAGTTTGCTTTCACGGATACCAGCTCAAAGAGCATCAAATTCCTAGATGATGAAAGCTTCAAACTTTAGGTTCAATTTCGGTTATGTAAGTTCTGAGGTGACTTATTAATCTAGTGATGCAATTCTGATTATGTAAGTTTGTAACAACTTTAATAAATCTAGTGATGCATATGAAAAAGAAATGATTACCCTCCACTTAGAAGAAGGCGGCCAAGAGTGGCAATGACAAGTCTGGAACGAAGACCAGGGTGGATGAAATAAACAAGTTGAAGCCTGTCTTTGATATCTGAAGGAAGGTCCTCGTAAATCCACCTTAAGATGGTAATTCCCGGTGAATTGTCGTCCTTTTGCACTGTGCTATGCATGTAAACCAAGCAGTAGGGTCCCTCAGGACATTGGTTGCTTATCTTCTGAAATATATACTTCTTCAGCCGCTCTGCACTCACAACACGAGCTGCGTTTCATGCACAATTAGAAACTGAATCAAATCAAAACCTTAACACAGTTAGAAATCAAATCAAATCACAAACATATCCTTGTTATCAAGTTAGCAACTTTGTACCAAAATCACAGTATTTGAAGACTCATTTCAACTAATAAGACGATCAAGTGTAAACAGGCGAGTGATTGATTACCAGGGAAATACTTTCCGACGACGCGGAAAATCCGGTTACCGGACTTATCCAAGCCTTGGAGTGTGAAGAACTGGAGAAGATCGAGATCAGAGAAATCTTCATCTTCGAGATATTGAGGACAATCGTGCCAGTTCTCTTGTTCATCAACCTCATCGCTTCTCGTTAAGAACGGTCGAGCATCAATTCCTAGATCAGAAGCCAACACAACCACCGAAAAATCTTCCGCCATCGCCGGAATATTCCTCCTCCTCACGGATCTTCTTACCTTTTTTTTTTCTCGTGCCTTTTTTGTTTTTGACTAGGGATTAGAGGCTATACTAACCTGCGTTTGAGTACACAGAGTTTAATGTACGACTGAACACGTGGCTAAATCTAAACGAGTCTAACGTCCTTTTGAACACTCGCCGTTTTTTAATCGGTTTCTCAGCTACATTCTCCGATCCGGCGAGATTCGATTCGAGTTCCGACAAGTCTGACTCTTTCCCCAGAATTAGCAAAGAAGGTAAGCGTTTTATGTAACCCAAGTCGAGAAAATCGAATTTGAGTTTGGATTCCATCGAGATAAGAGTGATTGAACAGAGTTTTTTTTGTCAGGTCTAGAGGTGAAAAAAATGGCAACTTCGCGTTTACAGTTGGAAGGAGATGACTCTGTTCATCTACACATTACTCATGCCAACCTTAAAAGCTTCTCTGCGGATGTTCGTTTCTCTCCACAAGTGAGTCTGCAGAAAAATCATCACTACTGTTTTTTATATGTAGCTCCCTTTAAATACATTTTTTTTTTGGATTTTGTTGTGAAGATGAGTGTAGAAGCTGTGAAAGAAAAGCTATGGAAGAAATGTGGTACATCTGTTAATTCCATGGCTTTAGAGCTCTATGATGACTCTGGCTCAAAGGTTGCAGTTCTCAGTGATAATTCAAGACCTCTCGGTTTCTTCTCCCCTTTTGATGGGTAACTTCTGTTTTTCTCCATTGCTTGTAGGATAGATTGCAAATTTTGCTAATTTAGAGAACTTGGAGCCTATTTGACTCAATAGACCTCTGTTCACTGTAATCTTGATAGATGGAATCCAATTCAAATGTGCTGGCTTCTTGTTTTATCATTTCATCTGATTGTTCTTTTCTGCTGCTTTCAATAGGTTTCGGTTACACATCATAGATCTTGACCCCTCCTCGGTCACAACTGGAGGCTGGCTTGAAGATACATCACTGGTTGAGAAGTATAACATCTCAGAAGAGGATTATGCTAAACGAACTGGTAAATTCTCTACTACCTGTAATCAGTGTCTCAAAGGAGACAAGTTTTTCTATCAAGTGACTTTGAATATATGTCAGAGCATCGCGAATTTCCTTTGATGATTGTATGTTCTTGTGTTCAAATTCCAGACAGTTTTAGGAAATTCAAAGAAAAAAGAGCGTCTCAAATTCCGGCTGCTGCTGAGGCTAAGGTATGACAAAAAGAATATATCAATATAAGCCAAACTATGTTGCTTCTTTTCAAACTTTCACCGAAACTGAAGTTTTTAGCTTAGTCACTGGGAGAAGTATCTGGGGTAGACTAAGTCATTCAAGAATACAACTGTTCTTATGTTTCTTCTTCCAATTCATCCTTTCAACAGACGAAGGAGAACTATATGGAAGATCTCTGTGCAAATATCAAGGTTAGTCAGAAATATTCTTTTTGTATATGGAAGATCTCTGTGCAAATATCATGGTTATTTTTCCTTTAACTGAACCAGCCAGTTTCTTGTTAACTTTGTGAGACGTGACCTCTCTTATTCTGCTCTTTCTCTACTCGTTATGCTTCTAATTTATTTAATCATTCAAATGTTAAGGTGGGAGATAGATGCCAAGTTGAGCCTGGGGAGAAAAGAGGAATGGTCAAATATGTTGGACGAGCAGAGTCGTTGGGTCCTGGCTATTGGGTTGGAATTCAGTATGATGAACCCCTTGGAAAACATGATGGCATGTATGTTAATTCTTTCGTCTTGATACTATTTTGTACTCATTAAGGTTAAACTCTATCAGAAATCGAAGTAAAAGTCCTTTCTTGCTTCTGGAACCTTGATTTCACTTGCAGCTCATGTTTCAGTGCTAGTATCACTTTAATCGTCTTAATATTTTATAGACTTTTCCTTAACATCATGATGTTCATAACTTAAGTACAATCTGTAGAAGCTCGGTTGCCAGATCCCACATATTTAATACTGGTTTACATTTGCAGGGTGAAAGGAACAAGATTCTTTGAATGCCCTCCCCTCCAAGGTGGTATGGTCAGGCCTGACAAAGTAAAGGTATTTTGTTTTATTTAAGGTCTTAGGGCATATGCAACGGTAAAACAAGAAGATAGTTCTTAGTTATTAAAATAATATTAAAGCTTATAATATCTAAGAACAGTTCTTCAACTGATGCTACAACAGTTCTTCAGGGAGAACATCTACCCATGCTCTTGAGTATATGTTCTTCAATTTTATTATTTTTAAAATCTAAGAACAGCCCAACAAGTTGGCCCGATAAATATGGTCTTAGCTTCACATTTGCTTAATTCATTCTGCTTGTGAAATGACATTACATTTCATAGAACCGAACTGGTTAGTCATTCTACATCATCCGCCGTATAGTAGAATTTGCTGTTTCTCAAATAGATGTCAATGCGGGTTTTACCTTTCCAAGTTTAATATTAGGAGTCTGGAGTCCAATATGGGTTAGCTATAGAACTAGCTAATACCAAAGGGTGTTGTTATCACTCTCAAGCTAACTTTTGGGCGAGTTGACTTTGTGGATATGGTTTGGACCTAGTATGGATTGGGTTCTTAGCAGTTAACCTCGTTTAAGTAATTGGTTGGATAGACTGAATCAGAAAACCATTTTCTGCTACTCATGAACCTGATATTGGCTTGCAGGTTGGTGATTACCCGGAGAGAGACCCTTTCGAGGAAGATGAAATATAAGATTTTCACGGAAGCATCAAACCAGTAAGGAGCGGAAGGAGTTTAAAAGATTTGCTTTTGTGTTCAACATCCACTCTTTTATCTTATTACATTTTGCCTCTAGTTTTGGATTTACAAGAGTTGGTGAAAACACAATGCAGCACAAAGTATTAATTTTAATGAAGAATAACTAGTAACACTTTGATTTCACAAGGATTCAGGTTATGATCTGCGGTTTATACACAATTATCCAACGACTTGCAATGCGGATATACCACTGGGTCAAGAACCAAAGAACAGATGTACTTATATGTCTTAGTTTCTGGTCCTTAGTCTCTATCTTGTACCAAATTGTTGATCATCTTAGCAAGAGGAACAGTCCCCTTTGTCATGATCTCCAATCTTGAGGTATTAGAAGCATGCGAGAAGAGCGACAACCCAAAGAACAACAGTTCAGGGAGAAACAGCCTGGAAGACAAGAATCCGTGCCAGTAATGAGGTTGCAGATCAAAGAATGCATCAAAGAACCTTCTAGTAGCGTCTAAGTCGAGTTTCAGCAGAATATCCATTCCAAAACAGAAGAATTCCCTCTGTCTGCGCCGTTCAATAGGCCACAAGTCTCTCCATACCTCAGCAGAGAGTTGATCTCCTCTTAGGCTGTTACTACTCGGTGAACCGAGGTATCTCACAATGGCGTTTGCAACTATTGGCGCAGCTGCAAGAGTCCTAGCTACCATGTAACCAGTTGAGGGATGAACCATTCCCGCTGTCCCACCAATCCCGACAACTCGTTGAGGTAAGACTGGTAAAGGACCACCCATTGGGATCACACAACGCTCGTCTTCCTCAATCCTCTTCACATTGATCCCCAAATGTTTCAGTCTAGCAGCCATTCTTTCTTGGATATCTTCCATACGCAGACCAGGTCTAGCAACTAAGGAAGTTTCTTCAAGAAATATTCGGTTGGAAGAAAATGGCATCGCGTACAAGAATGTTGGGATCTTACTGTTCCGTTCTTTAAGCTCAGGATAAGAGTCCAGATGTCTGTCTCTCCAATCCATGAACACCATTTTGTCTACATCGAATGGGTGACCATCGACTTCAGCTATAATCCCGTAAGCTACTTGGTACCCAGGGTTGTACGGTTTGTCATACTGAACCAAGCATCGGGAAAACCCGGTGGCATCAAGAACCACCGAAGCCTGAATCTTCACACCGTCGCTGCAAACCACAGTGGAGTTTGCCTCCTCGTGAACCACATTAGTGACCTTAGACTGATGAAACTTAACACCGTTGGTAATACATTTCTGAAGCATTTTGGATTTGAGCTGTTTCCGGTTAACTCTCCCATAAGGCCGGCTTAAATCCTTCTTGACACCTTCATCGACATAGACAACAGCACCAGACCATGTGGTATCAAGGCAATCAAGTAAATCCATAGCCTCAAACTCATCAACCCAAACTCCATAGTTGTTAGGCCATATGAGCTTTGGAGAAGGATCAATGGAACAAACAGAGAGTCCAGCCTCAGAGACCTGCTGAGCCACGGCTAAACCAGCAGGACCACCACCAACAATAGCCAAATCAACAACTTGACTCTTGGAAGTATCATACAAAGGAAGCTCAAAGTCAAGATTCTCCTTCTTAGTTTCAGGAACAAGATCCAAAAGAGCAGCACTACCACTGGCAACACTAGAGCCAATTTTGATAGCCCTTTTCTTCACACCAAGCCTAACCCTTGAAGGGTTTGGATTATTACTGCTTAATCTCTCAAACCCATGAAACTGAGGGATGAAAAAATCGAGCTTGTTGGGTGTTTTCAACAGAGTATCCATCGAATTCCCTCAAAATCACCAAAAGGATATAAGTCAAAAATCACCGGACACGATTTCTAACCAGAGGGATTGCGAAAATGGATTACTAAATGCCTAGAGAAAAGATTAACGAAGACCACAAAACTTACCCAGAAGCAGTAGCTTCATGGAGATGGAGACAATTATCTTCTTCCCAGAGAGAGAGAGAGAGAGAGAGAGACAATGAATGTGTTTGTGGTATGAGTCATTTAGTGGGTCCTGCAGATCCAATATGTGCTAAAATCCATTATTATTATTATCTTGAAAAAGCTTTTGGTTTGTGACTTTGGTTTGCGTTTTGGTCATTAGTCACTCACTACACTACTAGCTTACGAATTAAGACATGGTTGTTGAATTTCTGATTCATTATCCAAATTCAATGTTTCATTTGTAATTAGTTTTTGAGTCGATATTAAAAAAAAAAAATTATATTTTTCCAAATTTGTAAGATATATGAATTTGGATTTTTATGCATATGACTAAGAACATGTTTTTATGTTTATAATGATGTATGACCAACTTTTTTTGTTTTAAACCAATTTTATAATTTTGGTCCTAATTTTTCTTTACAAATTCCAAGATAAATAACAAAGCCAAAAAGTGTGAATTAATAGTTTAAGTGCTTTAAAACCCAAATTCATATTTTTTTGGCTTCGTTATAAGACGAAGATTTCATGGGATATTCGTTTTTTTTTTTTAATGGAAACTATAATCTGGAAACTATATAATAATCCCATAAAATCTCCAACTTATATTCTCATTATTTACATATTTAAAATTAATTAGAATAATATGTAAAAGAACCTTAGAGCAAATGAAGAGGTCGAAAAGCATGAAAAAATTAGGGTTTTGGCCAAAGATGGAGCAACAAGAAGAAGAGAAGAAGAAGATAAAAGTCTACCAAAGAAAAAGAAAACGATCAAAATCAGGTTCGTCGTCCATTCCTCTAGATCTAGTGTCAGAGATACTCTTAAGGCTGCCTGAGAAGTCCGTTGTGAGGTTTCGTTGCGTGTCCAAGCCTTGGTCATCAATCACCACCGAGCCATATTTCATCAACTTGTTAAAAACTAGGTCTCCACGGCTTTTACTCTGCTTCAAAGCAAATGAAAAGTTGTTTGTTTCCTCGATTCCGCAACATCGTCAGACATTTGAGACTTCGAACAAGTCCCACTCTTCTGATCAGCCTATTGATCGTTATCATATGGAATTCTCAAAAGAAATTAATTACTTCCTCCCTACGGAATCTGTCAATGGCTTGATCTGCTTTCAAGAATCAGCAAGGCCGATTGTTTGGAACCCTAGTACGGGACGGTTGTTGACTTTACCTACACCCAATGGGAACTGGAATGATCTAACAATCTTGTTAGGATACGATCCAGTGGAAGGTAAACACAAAGTAATATGCATGCAGTTTTCAATAACTTGTGATGGGTGTCAGGTTTTAACCTTAGGACCAGGTCAAAAATCATGGAGAACGGTCAAAACTCATTATAAGCATCGTTCTGACTATAATACTTGTGGGAGATGCATCAACGGTGTTGTATATTATATAGCCTATGTCAATGATAGGTGTGTGTGGGTTCTAATGAGCTTTGATGTCAGATTTGAAAAAATCGATATGATCGAGTTACCATCATCGGATGTTCACAAGGATGTGCTGATAGCTTATCATGGGAGGTTAGCTTGTGTTGGTAGAGAAAGAATAAAGAAGAATGGTATCAGATTGTGGATTTTGGAGAAACACAACAAGTGGTCGAGTAAAGACTTTCTTGCACCTCTTGTTCACATAGATAAGAGTTTGACAACTAATTTCCTACTAAAAGGTTTCACTCATGCTGGTGAGTTTATTTATGTAGAATCCATGTTTCATAAATCGGCTTATATTTTGTTTTGTGATCCGGTGAGAAACACTTGTAGAAGGTTCGAGCTCAAAGGGTTCACTGACGACGAGTTTGTGCTCAGTAATGAACATGGTTATACGCTCCATGTTTTCCCGAATCACGTTGAGAGTCAGATCTCTTTTACTTAACAAATTTCTTCGTTTTGTTTTTTCTTGTTTTCTTTAGAATGGCACTTACTTTATGGTTTCTTTTCGATTCCTTACTTTGACTTTATCCTTAGCCTTCAGCACTATCCAAACCACTTATATCAGAAAAAGATAAAATTAACAATTGTAACAAGTAGTAAAAATATAACTAAAACACAAGAGAAAAGAGACAAAATCACACACTGAAAATTACATGATCTTCTTAAACTTATTACTAACTTCAAGCTTAAGTAACAATGTTAATGGAAAGCCCTTTTTATACACCCCACCAAATAGTCTTTGCAAAGGAAAACCATCAAAAGCTGAATCTTTTGTACACAAACGTGTCCTACGTTATGAGTGATAAAGCAAAACCTGCATAGTTTTCAGAAACCAAAGATGATGATCATGTTAGAATATGCAAATTCAAAAAGAGTGCAACCGAGGCAGATGAGCATACTTCTTACCTATTACCTAACTACTCGCTTCCAATGTTATCGTAACTGAAACCTTCAGATATGGTATCCAACCTCTTGTTGTCTCCTGCAAAAACACACGCTTACTATTATCACTTTTGTTTGTTGCCTCAACACTTTTAATTTCTCTAAACCAGCGAGAATTTGAAACCCGATTACTCGCGTTATATTTCAGAAAAGTAAGAAAGATATAATAGAAACTTCCTTCTTCATTCTTTTGTTTAACAATCCCAGAGTTCTCTCACCTTGATATTCTCCTCTTTCACGGGAGTCCAGGATGTTTTCAGCATTCGGTACAAGGAAGGGTGATCTATCGTAGCTCTCCAGAATCTCTGAAATCAACAGGAAACTTATGGTTACAAATGACCTATTAGCTGTTCACTGGCTCTTGTACTAGAAAATCACTAATAACTACTTGGTTCTATATGCATGCTAAGACATCAGAACAACGAGAGAGAAAGGAGTATAAGAGATGGAGAAAGACCTGAGCTCTGGGAAAAATCAGCTGTCAAATCAGAGAGGCTAAAGTTACGAGGAATTTGACCTAAGAACCCAAAACCAGAAGTTTCTGCTTCAAGAAGCGGTTCACTGAGAGGTTGGTTGTTGGACTCATTACTGAAATTAGGAATCGAAGTATCCCCAACTGCCGAATGTCCTTCTAGGGCATTCCGTTCGCCACCATACATGAATGAAGCAGGGTTTGTAAAGGCAGTCTCAGATTTGATCATTCCTCCATTCATTCCTTGCATCATAGGCATGTGCGATGAGAGCATATTTGGAGAAGCATCAACTCTCCTCGCATGGGTTGATATGTTTATAGAAGAGGGCACGTTTGTATTGAGTGTTGAAGAGCCATTGAGGAATGCATTAGACAGACTAGAAGCCATAGGATGATGTGCACTTTCTGACTTCAAAGATTGATCAGTGTGCTCAGAGGGGTAGCATAATTGTTTCTGATTCACTGTTAAGAAGATTACATATATTAGCTATTCAAAACTCATAACCTCCCTCCAATTTCAACCAGTAGAGCATAATAATTAATCACAATGAAGAGAGAGACAAAATACTATTCATCAATAGGTAGCTGCGACTTGAAAGAATGACTAATCTAAATGTCATGGAAGGAAAGAGTGATTCTAGACGTGTTGCTGATGGACAGATCTTGATTCATTCTAAGAGAAGCAAATTCATGCAGAGTTTGAAGAAAAAGGAAACCATGAAAAGAACTAAGGCAGAAAAAGTGGAAGCCAGAAAACAAGACAAGGCATATGAGGACTGTTTACTACAACACTTGACCAAAAATTCATAGCACAATGATACAAGCAATAAAGAGACACTAAAATGCAAAAACTAAAATCCATCTCACTCCAAACGAAACTTACTTGATTGAATATGAGAACCATTAGTATTTTGGACGGAAGCAACCCCAGTTGGATGCATCTGACGCATGTGGTGAACCTGCTGCTCAAGCAACTTGTTGAACTCCATTATCTGGTGTTTAACCATTAGCCTAAGATAGTAAGCCTTGAAAAACTCCCGATTCTCTTCTTCAAGCTTCTGCCAAACTATAAACCAAAAAGGAAAGCGTGTTACCATAAATTTTTGGCCAACCCTGCAGTAGGAGGATAATCCCCATCTTTATCATCAATACTCATCACAATACATTTTCTCCAATATTTCATGATTTATTGTCAGTAATATTGTTGTCAGCCCCCTTTTTCTGTTTCTTAGGAGTTGTCATTTCTTAGCACTTCCTAACTAGGTTCTGACCAATAAGACCTACTAGCGAACACTTGAACCAAACAAATACATAAATTTCAGTTTTAAGCAACAAAAAAATCATTCACACATGATTTTGGCTACGGATGTCCGGAACTGGTAAATAGATATATTAATACCTTTCAATTCAAAGTCTTGAATCCGGAAAGGAGAATCATCAAAGAACAAGGATTACACACAATCAGATGCTATGTGAAAAAACAGAGTACTTTAGTGGCTACCTAGCTCTGTGAAGCCAGGCTCGATTTTAGCCTGCTCTAGTAAAGTATCCACAACTTCTTTCTGATTCATGTAAAGTTGAAGGCATCGCTCTATAAGGTTTTGAACCTGAAACGGTATAACAAGAAGCCAAAAGTAGGTTTTAGTGAGCTTAAGGTTGGACATGCCAGTTGGAAGAGGAAGAATTCACTTTCAATTTTCGCAGATTGACACAATGAAAGCAAAGGCCTTCATCATGATCTATGGTGCTTTTGATAGTAGCGGGTGTAAGGTATCTCTAAGTAATAGCTCTTCATGGCTATCAAACATATGCCTCAATTCCACCATTTTGATAAACATATGCAAATAAGTAGTATAACTTTGAAAAAATTGAGATTGAGGTTCACAACTACAAATAACTTAAACACTATCAGGTATTTGTTGTTATTACCAGTTGTATATCTTGACGTGAAACCCTTCTCACTGTTCCACTTGACATCTCTGTGACTTTTGTAAACCAGACCTTGTTCCTGTCAGGAAGAAGCAGTATAAGAATTTGATTTCTGTGCAAAATTCAAATTTTTGTTTTGTATCATATCATTAGAGGTCTTTATCTCCAACTATCTTCAATGATTAGAAACACGGTTCTTTCTCACATATCAACTTAGAGTACTACTCTTCAGAAAAGAACTCAAACAAAGTAAATACATAAACAGATTATATTGCCAAACAGACTCTATGCAACATGAGCTCGGCAGAGCTTAACTATAAAAACCATCAGAAAAAAAAATCGCAAATTTATACAGACATGAGATAAAAATCAAAACTTTATCAATCGAAAAACAAACATCAATAAAGCAAAAGTGAAATGAATTTGATTTCTCTAGGTTTCAAAACCCAAAAAAAAAAAGAGATACAAAATGAATTTTGCAAACATGGATTCACAAATAAAAGGCTAAAGAAACTGAGAATCCTCCACTTTACCCCAAATTATAAACCCAACACTTTGAATCGATTTCTTCTTCAAATACAACCGGATCAAATCAAATCAACAATAACAATTTTTTTTTAAAGAACATCAAAACGATCAAGAAAACAAATTCGAGTAGCTTAAACAACCAGGCAAATTCAAAAGCATAAGAGCACCTTTAATCGGAGAAGATTCGAGAGAGAAAGAGGAGAGGAGATGGAACCTAACCTCACTTTTCTTGATCGATCGTGGATCAATTTCTTTACTCCTTTCTTTTTTCCATTTTCTTTTATTTACTTCTTTATATATCTTTTATTTTAAATTTAATTTTACCATTCCAGCTTCGGAGCTCAGGAAGCTGACACGTGTAAAATGTTTGACAATGGTAGATCCCATTCATAATAGAGTTATCTGATCTTCTTGTTAGCCGGTCAATCTTTCTTAGTCAACGATTCTTAGAGAAGAAGAATTTACTAGTAATTGTTTGGATTTCTGAAATAATTAACTTTTTAGACATTGTTGAGCTAATGAGTTCTCTATTTACTTGTATAATTTTGACAAATATGGTAATCTTTGTAAGGAAATTATAATAAGGATTCAATACACAAAATCTACATGAATGAATGTTCTCAAAACATTCATTTAGCAAACCATAATCCATATTGTTCTAACATCGATAAAGAAGGTAAAATAAGAAGCTTCATTGATTTAGTCACTCACGCTTCTTTAACCCAAACTTTCCACTTGGGATTCTACTGAGAAAACCAGTGTCAAGCTTCTTGTAGTGACTATGAAACTTCATAATCAGAGAATCCATAAAACCATCCACTTCGTCTTCATATCTCTCATACAGAACCGGCATTGTGTGTGCCCCAACAAACCCTTCACACACACACACACACAAAATGCATCCCTTAAAAGTCTTGTAAAACTCAACTACCAACCTTATAAAAGAGGAGACGATCGATAGTAAGAATTACTCACCGATATACAAAACAGTTAGGAAATTGCAACAGCTCCCGACCATTGCGGCTACCCATAGTCCGATTATCGCCTGGAAAATGATTTTGTGTAGATAAGATTGATTAAACTTTCTATCTACAGTATCGTAGCATAGTAATGAAAGTGCTGATACATCATTATGCAGATCTATATGCGATGAAACAAGATTGTGGTTATTGAAACAAAGAAATGGAAGCAAAAACAACGCACCATGAGGAACTGTTTCAAATTCCCTTTACAAGCCAAGTCCTGTAGAAACAACAAACCGCGGTTAACTTCTTTTCCAATGGCCACACCTACTTCAGCAAAGAAATCCTTTGGAAGAACAAGCCGAGGCACTCTAGACTGTGAGCTGCTTTGAGACATGAAAGGACATTGTGTTAGATTGCAATCACAATGAACCAAGAATAATGACAACAACACTTCAAAAAGTTACCGGTTTAGGAAGCCTGAGGCATTACACCAAACGAATTGGGCGATCATACCAAGCAAGAGGGCATAGCAAAGGAGAGACAGAAAATGAAAATTGATCCATTCGAAAAGCACCCAAATTGCAGTAGCTCCCATCAAAACACTAGCAGAGATCTTCTTGTTCCTCCATAACAACACATCAGCAGCTGAAGAAATCTCCCAAGACTCAATTACAACACACCCAAAACAAAAAAGCTCACATTTGTTTCCGTGTATAAGAATTCTTACATTTACCACCACCTAAGATATGGTGAATTGGCTTCTGACGACCAAACAAACGGTTGAAACGAGAACTGACGGAATCTTCTTGTTCGAAGAAGGAGGAACCATGTTTGTTCTTCTGAACAGTATCCGTGAAGTTATCCACCAAATCACCGATAACATCCTCTACAATGTTCTTATCAGGCATGATTCTGAAACACAATCAAAAACTGAGATTCTTAATTTGTTCGAAACTCAAGCAAACATTTGAAAGTTGACTTCATAAAAAAAAAAAAAAATCGAAACTTTTGATCATTTCTTCTTCATACCCTAAACCCAAAACCCTGTAAAGTAATCAAATTTGGTCTTAACAGTTCGTTGGTGATAATTACAATGATATGAAACCTAGATCTTAGTATGTATTTGGCGAGAAATTAAAGAGCAAGAACGAGATAAAAATGAAGATAAGTAAGAGTAAACCTGTAGGAACTGGACAAGAAGAAGAAGAAGAAGAAGAAGAAGCTTGGTTGTTTTGTGAATTTCACACCAAAAAAAGTAGCTTTCTCTCTTTGAAGATTCTCTCAATCACGAAGAAAGACGGAGGGTGGACGTGAAGAGCAAGCGATGGGATTGGTTGTGTCGAATAATTGAATTACAAAAAAATTGTTTTTTTAAAAAATGTGGGCAAATTTGGAATCTAGTGTGTAATAAAGGATAGGACTTGTCTTCCCACGTGTAGCTCATGACAATAAAAAAAATTAATTGTTTTAAAAAGTATCGGACGCCAAAAAAGAAGAAGTTGAAACGTATCATTGTATTTGCAAGACAAACAAAAAAAAAGTTTATGTAGATTTGTCAACCGTTACAATTCTTGTTGAAAATTAAAAATTTTCATTTATTCAATGAATTAAAGTCACACTAATATGGTTGTAACATGCGTTCGTAACACCGTTTTAGGTTGTTCATCAAGAAAAAATCATGTTTAATTCATTATATACCAAAATACCTACCAAAACGAAAGATAACTTGTTCACAATCGATTCCTCTGCGATCACTACTACTAAACACATGAATCAAACTTTAACCTCAGAAGACAATATTTAAAAACAATACAACAAGCAGAGAAGATATTCATCGCACAATAACAAAGTTACCTTCTTATTATCTTCCTTCTAATCGTTAGTTTTAACTTCTTCACATCCATTGGGATGTTGCTTTTGTAATAGATTAAGGGATTTATAGAGCTTCTGTTTTATGAATTCATTGATAATGGGGTTTTCCTTGTATTAAGCAGAGTTACTCAGTGTTTTACGATGTGTACAAAACTATAATTATGAACACTAGTTAGATTAACGAGAGTTTCGTTTGACTTTGATTAATATTTACTAGAACAGCTGGCCACTATTTTTTTTTTTTTTCCCAAAGACAAACTTTTAGACATTTTACTTTTACTTTTTAAAAAGAGATGTAGAAAATGTATATAAATCGGTCGAGGGTGATTGGTTGAGATTTTTGCCGTAAGCTTTACTTTTTTTAGGTATGTGATGTTTTTAGGAATAGATTTTCTAAAATTCATATCTTACTCTTCGTTGTGTATTTTATTGATGATGGTTTGGCCATGCCTGATTTTCAGGAATGCCAAATTGAAGTCATAATAGATAGCAAGTAGTTAAGTACCTATTGAATGCAAATTCCTCTAGTCTCTAGAAAAATATAGTTCCAAGAGATAAATTTTGATATTGCGAGATAATAATCCTAACAATGATTTTTGTCTTTATAGGCCAGAAGAAGAACAAAATCCTGTTGGCCTGTGAGTATATGATTCAACCTTAAAATGATGATGTCTCTTAAACTCCCTTTGCACTTCACCAAATTCGTCTCTTTGTTGTTTGTATATAGCTGACGCAATAAGCTGTGTTATATGTCGAGATTCTCCAGATTCATCCTAGTCGCAGCGCTTTTGATGAGTTCCTTCCTGACATCCACCTGAAACAGACACAGACACACAACATTGTAGCATGAGTTTTGCCAGTTTATTGACTATTATTATGAGTCCGAGTCTGGCAATTCATTGGCTTACCCGAGCACCCATCAGAGATGAGAAGACCATATTCGTTTCTGCTGCGTCCTCAACAACTAGTTGCTTCAATATCCTTGTATCTGGGTTCATTGTTGTTTCCCATAGCTGCGCAGGCATCATCTCACCCAAACCTGCAGATGCAGAAGAAAGGAACATTACGGAATAATACTGTTGTGCCAACTAGGATCTAATTGTTGAGACTAATCAAGATTTCGTTATGCGCAAACACTCAAGAGTATCTTAATAGCTAACCCACAACAACTACTATACATTAACTTTTCATAGTTATTTATCCTTTCCAAAGAACACATTCATGATGTGAGAAGCCATAAGACCACAAAACTAGCTTTCTCTCTACCATTACCTTTGAACCTCTGAATGTTGTAAGATGCGTTTCCAGGGAACGAAGCGGTAATTTTTTTAAGGGCTGCATCATCGTAGCAATAGTGCGCCTGTTTCCCCCTCTCAACCTGATCGTTTTCAAAGAGAGACTAGCTTTTTAAAAAAATCCGTAAAATCTGAAGCACAATAACTGCAGAAGATTATAAATGCTAAGAGCTTACCTTGAAAAGAGGTGGAACACCAACATATATGCAACCCGCGTCAAACAAGGCTCTCTGTAGAAAGTAACTTTCATTAGTTTCACATAAGTCAATCAGCAATCTAAGGCTACTTTAACTAATGTTTTATCCAACCAAACTAATACCTGATATCTGAAGAAAAAGGTCAACAGAAGTGTCCGGATATGTGCACCATCAACATCTGCATCTGTTAAGATGATAATTTTATGGTAACGCAGATTCTCCTTGTTAAAATCTTCTCCCTGAAATAGATTATATGTCAGATTGAGTTTTCCGAACATTCCAACAAATAGGATATGAAAAAGGATATATTACCTTAACTCCAAGACCAAGGCCAAGAATTAGATTTTGAATTTCTTCGTTCTTATACATTGCTGCTTCATCCTTTCTCTCAATATTCAAAATTTTACCTCTCAAAGGAAGAATCGCCTGCATAGATTGAAATACAAGTGTTACAGACTAACAAAATAGAAGCAGAACCCAATATTTCCACAATCCTATATGCTTTAACTTTCATCAAAAAGATAATGGCACAACCCATATGATGCTATGTCGACCTGTGAATAATTCTCCAAATTTGCATGCGATACACTATCCCAAATCAGCCTTATTCATCTAAAGGTTGGTTTGCATCCTTACTCTCATGTAATGAAACACCAAAGAATGTCGATACTACTCAGAGACTCAATCAATTTCTTTTTGAGAGTAAAGAGAGGACTCTTAGACTCTTAGTGTTTTGTACTAAAAAGAAGCCCACCAGAATAGTATTAAACTTTGACAAAAAAAAAAGAATAGTATTAAACTTTTCATGTTTTTACCACTGGAAGCTGCAAAGGCTCAACTTAAACATGGGAAGAAAATTCACTATCTCAAGCATCAGGCAGGAGCACCTTGCAGAATGAATATTATTTGCTTGGATATCAGCTATAGCTAAGGGGAAACAATTCCCTTTCTACCCCCTCCCCAATTCCCTTTCTACGCTGAGCAGAATGATTTATTTTACCTGGAAACGCCTGTCACGACCCTGTTTCGCGCTGCCACCAGCAGAATCTCCTTCGACAATGAATATCTCTGGTAGCATAGGAAATAGACGTCAATAACTTACTAATTTTCACAGCTTACAAGGCATTTTCATACTGGCTAATGCATACCAGATTCTGCAGGATCTGTAGATGAGCAATCTGCAAGTTTCCCAGGAAGTGAGGATGACTTCAAAACGCTTTTTGATCTCACCAACTCCCTAGCCCTCTTGGCAGCCAGAGCAGCCTAAAAAGAAACAGAGTCAACAAGGAAAATTCATGGTCATTTGGTTGAATACTTGAAATTAGTAACTAGACACACTGTAGGAGACACATAATCAAAGAATATGCTAATTACAGATATCAGAAAAATGATTCTCAAGGAGTCAAGGGATAAAACACATATTTGAGTGTTCGAGTGCATGTTTGTAGGTGAAGATGTGAAAGTATGAGCAGATATTTCAATGTCGCACCTTGTACGCATTCAAGGATTTGGAAATAATGCTTTCAAGTACATCCGGATGCAATTCCAAGTACTCCGTGAGGTATTCCTGGACTGATTGATCAACAATTTTTCTCACCTCTGGATTTCCTAGTCTTGTCTTTAGGAGACAAAAATATTAAAATGAGCAACAGAATCCAAGAAAAGTTATGGCCTGCTGACCAGAGATTGTTGACAAAAAGAGGGTCAACATATCATTATGCTCTCAAGTACCTTAGTTTGACCTTCAAACTCAGGGTTAGGAACCTTGACTGAGACAATGCAGGTCAATCCCTCCCTAACATGTTCCCCACTTAAGCTAATATCCTTTTCCTGAAAACATAACCAACAACAATAAGTTACACCATGAGTCAGCAACCTTTTCAGAACTGGTCAAGAAAAATGCTTAAATGTATGCAAAAGCAACCTCTATAACTGCCATGTTTCACAGTTCAATCATGGATAGTACATTGTTCATTGTCCGTAAAGCATGTCTATCAAGTTCAGATGTACGAGTATTCAGGTTTAGTCTCAGTTCATGGAGACGAATAGATAATATAATCCTTGACCTACAATATCTCAGAACACTCTTTTAACCATAATAATGACCAACTAACCACAATTAGCATTTGCAGTTTTCATGAAAAAGGAGGAAAAAGGCTCAAAGCCTCTAAGAGTAAATGGTATCACACCTTGATAACCTTTAACTTTTTCGCAAGGGAATTTAGAGTTCTTGTTAATGAAGCCTTCACACCTTCTATATGTGTCCCACCATCAATGGTCCGAATACTATTCGCGTATCCCAGCATCGTGTCTGAATAGGCATCTGAGCACCTGGTACAATAACGAGATTATATATTTAGATCATATAAATTTTGGATAGCTACTATGATATACACATTCTCGTCCAGAAGAACTGCAGTATATACACTATACAGTCATCAACTCCGCATACAGGACAACATTTTTCCATCCAGTTTAGATAGAGTAAACCATAAAATTAGTCAGCCTAAATGTTCAAGTATGTGGTTTTACGGTAAATACAACCAGATTATAATCTGTTCATCGTACAAGCAGATATTAGAAGACGAATGTAGAAGGAAAAGTAAAATACCACTGAAGTGAAACGTCAACGGTGGAGCCATTTATCTCTTTTCTGAAACCCAGCACATCATGAAGCGGTTTCTGAACAAAAGAATTGTTAATTAATATTTTCAGGAGGACAAGTAATAAGGATGACCTATATATAATACATGAGACCTAAATGCATAAGAGCTAACTTAATAGAGATTAAGTTGACACAGGTCTCATACTCATGCTAGATATAGCCCTAAAGAATAATGAACAGGTCAACACATCTTACCACCAAGTAAGCTGAGAAAGAAAAGTATTAGTACCATCCCCATTGCATTTTGTTTCACAAAACCCATTCCAATTTAATTGCCACTATTTTAAGTATAGCATCACCGATTGGCAAATATTTGAAACTTTATACAACTATAACAAGGGATCCACAGTACAAGCCTCACCTTATCAGTATTTAGCCAGCTAACATATTCAGTTAACCCTCCAGCATAAAAATATTCACTATACAAGTCCCTTTCTGGATCATCATCCTCCTTTTTTAGAGAGATTGTAACCTGCATTCAATATGGACCTTTTGATTATGACAAAGGAAACAGTAGAACATCAGCTTCTTCTAAATAAGAACTCATTAAAACGAGCAGGTTAAGAATGCTCTATGAGCATGAAGCACACAACTCAAATATCTATGTTTCAAATTATCACGGCTGCCTATACCTTTGGATTTAGAAAAGCAAGCTCCCTAATTCGTCCAGCAATAGTGTTATGGTCGAATTGAATTGCAGTTGTGAATACTTTGTTGCAGAAAAGCTAAGTTAGTCATCAAATCCCATCTTTGGAAGGGTTAAATAGACAAGTATGGAAAACAGGCAAAACCTTCTTTGTCAGGCCAAAACCGGATGCATGTCCCTTGAGTCCCCCTTGACTCTGGTGGGAGGACATGACATGTAAGTGTTGTTACAGGCTTTCCACGAGAATACTTCTGCTGAAACTCCATCCCATCTCTGCGAACAATAACCTCCAATGCCTGTGAATAATGGGAGCTCCTTAATTAGTTGTATGCATATTATCCTAATAGACTCTTGATGTCTTGCCAAATATAACAGTTTCTTATAGTTGAAAGTATCTGAAATTGATAGCCCCAGCACTCAGTACGGAACCACTCCAAGATCTTTCTCATATGATATCAGGTTTGGACATCAGATTAACTTTCACACAAAATAAAGGATTTGCAATAACCTAGCAAAACCTTCCTATACGATCCAATGCGCAGGATCTAATTATCATAAAAAATATTTTACAAACATGTGACAGAAGGGATTTTCAATTTAGCAGAGGGGAAAAGGCAACAATGTACTAACGGTTACAACACACCTCTGACAATGCATTCACAACCGATAAACCTACGCCATGCAATCCACCAGACACGCTGTACCCACTACTCTTGCCACCAAACTTACCCCCTGCATGTAAGACCTGCACAATTAAAAAGCACCGATTAATTGTAGGAACAGATGTCAGGATAACAAAACAAAAATACGTGTGATTCTACAACAAGACCAAGATAGACAGCTTTCTACACAATATATAAGTAAAAGGTATACTAATAGATGTTTGTCAAGTAGCAGTACCGTAAGGACAGTTTCCAAAGCCGATTTTCCCGTTGCAGGATGCAAATCTGTGGGTATCTGCAAAAAAAAAGCTATATATGAATAAAAGTGACAAAATGCATTTTGATATTAGCAACAGATTTTACTTCTGGGATGAAAGAAAACTATATGAGAAATAAAAAACCGTAAATGAATAAGATAGAGCATGCTTGACATATATTGTCTACTCTTGGTGCACAGTAGATGAAAAACCGGAAGCTTTGAGAAAACTCAGAATACCAAAATTGGCTCCTACACATAGTTACAGAATGCCATTGGGTGCCACTTAACCTTTCTCTTCCATCCCAGCATATAAAAACTATATCCATGTTCTCAGTTACAAAAATATGCGAGGATGAGTTAGTGTACAAATCACAAATCACATACCCCACGTCCATTGTCTGAAATACTGACTGAATCATCTGAATGTAAAACAACGTCGATCTTTGAAGCAAAACCAGCTTGGGCCTCATCAATGGCGTTGTCAAGGATCTCATAAACCTAAGAAACAACATGTATTGAGAAGGATATAACCAGTTGATATGAGCCAGTCACGACCAAGCAAGTTAAAAGAAAAAGGCATATACCAGATGGTGCAAACCACGAGATCCTGTGCTACCAATATACATTCCAGGTCTTTTCCTGACAGGGTCTAAGCCTTCCAACACCTAATGCACCATAGAGAATTTAAGATACAATAAAAAGGTGACACTAAAAGATTCATAGTAGGAATTTCCAAACATAAAAACAGCAAATCATCTGAAAAAGCAAGAAAACGAAACAGATGTTTATCGGAATTACTTGGATGTGCTCGGAACTATAATCCTTAGAGGTAGAGCTCTCTTGGAGAGACTCCATGGTCGATGACATAAAACTCTTAGGTGAGACCGCATTTCTTTGTATAAGTCTTTGACTAAAAACATTGGCTAACTGAAACTTTATCCTGCAACCAAATGAGAATTTATTTAAATACCGAGTGAATACAATCAAGTTTTGCTTCACACTATGGAAGAGAATCACAGAGCCGAATCTTCAATAATCAACCAAGCTGAAGAAAGCAATTGACTTTCACTTTAAGAGTATAACATAAATTCCCAATTCCGAGAACTTGGCAACTTTCAGCAATCGCATAAAGGCATGAATTTTAGCATCGGAAGCAAATTAGTATTGCTTCTTCTCTTCAATCTTCATTTACTGCCTAATTTCCCCAGAAACCAAAACGGAAAAGTGAAAAGAGGAAAATGAGCTAACCAATACCTGGGTGTTGAAGAGGTGAGAGATGAGGAATGACGGTGAAGTGAAGGATACGAAGAGTGAGAGAAGAGACGAGGACGAGAAGCCATGAGACGAAAATAGCGGTGAAGATAAGAGTGTTGTCTCTGAACTAGAGCCATGGAAGAGTTGATGGTGACAGTCAAAGACATGTTTTCTTCTGCTTCAAACAAGTTTTACGGGTCTTCCTCTCGGGCCGGGTTTACTCGAACCCACCCGGCCCAAAGTTCTTGTAGAGTCAATTAAAATAAATTTTGATTATGATTTGCAGCCAAAAAAATATTATTGTGATTTTTTATATTCAATGTCGATAATATTGCTCTGAATTTTGTTTGAATTTGATATTTAGGTAGAAATCGAACTCAAAAACTGAATTTAACTCGATCCTTTTTGGTTCTTTTTAAGATAGTGAGTCACAAAAGTGTTTCTCCAAACAAAAAAAAAAAAAAAGTCATAGAATCTACCTATATATAAGTATGTATAAGTCTATAGGTTAGATACAAAAATGATCAAGAGAAAATCACAGTCTTTGAGCTTCTTTAAACCTGCGTTTAGTTTCTCCATAAGCAACAACCCCGAGAACAGTTATACTGTACCCGCCAATTCCCATCACCGTTACCGGGTTTCGGAAAAGCAGGATTGAGATCACAACCGCAACCGCTCCTTTAGCATTTCCAAGGACCTGAAACATTAGCATACACATGTTTGATCCAATAAGGCACTCCTCTAGTTTTGCAAAAGTTCAACTCTGTTCAGTTTTTTTACCTGGAGGGTAAGTGGGCTTGTGTGGTTGGTTACCAGAAAGTTTAACAAGTTGGCTGAATAAGCCATTACAGAGTTAACCAGCAGAAGTAACCACATGTACTTATGTTGTCTTCCGAGCGATAGTGTCACACTCATCACATCCGGCTCCATAACAATTGTGACAGGCAGAAGAGTGATGACGGCTATCGGAGACATGTACAGCATCAAATTCATCGAATTCAACTTTTCTCTGCAAGAAAATTTAAAGATATGTTAAACTCTAAGATGAGCATTACTCATTAAGTAGCCAAAGCTTCCTACTTTTCTTATTCAACTGGTTGCAGAATCTTTTAAATTAACATATAAAAAGGTTTTCTGATTCATTGAGTAAATACATTTCAAAAGCAAAGCAATGATCTTATTAACGGACTTACGCCTCCGATGACAGTAAGATGCCTTGAAGAACAGATTTAAAAGCTCTTGCAGCAGTAGCACTAATGCACATAATGAATCCAAACCAGTGAAAACCCGGTTCACCCTGTAACCACAAAGTCAGACCCAGTCAGGTTCATTCAATACAGAAATCCCAGAATCAACAAAGTAACAAAGGCCATGCAAGAGAAACAACTAACTCACAGCACAGTGTTGATTGTAAGAATGGCAATAATTACAAAAAGAAAGTCTGAAGCTTTAGACAACACATGACTCGAATAAAGAAGCCGACTAGAAACCATTAAAGAGTGAAACTTTAGATAACACAGGACTCAGAATTGTGTTTGCCCTGGACCATTGAATTGTATACTCAGTGTAATCACATTCGAGTAAACAATCATGAAATAAAGCAAATCTTTTTTTGGGTTTCAGACATACGTGGAACACAAACAATCATCTTTAATGCTCTAAACTAACAACAAATCAGACATCACAATCTACAGATAAAAGAACACATTTCACAGAATCTATAGAACATCATGAATCAAGAACAACAGAACCAAAATCGCCAGAATCAAAATCAACAGTCAAAAACGTTTTCATTACGAGAAAAAGACGTACCCCACTGGCGATAACGACACCGGTAACAACGGGGACGAGAGCACAGTAAGTGACCCAAACTTCTTTCTTATCGGTCATGGTATAAGCGAAGAGAGCAGTGAAAAACGGCGTCGTAGCACCAACGGCTTGATTAAACGAGACAGGGAGATAACGAAGAGAGATGTTCCCACCGACGACGGAGGCACAGAAGACAATGCTGAGAGTCGCAACCTTGAGAAACTGAGAACGAGATTTGAGGTATTGGAGAGGGACGAGCTTGAGGAAGACGATGGAGACGTAGCTGAGGATTGCGCAAGCGGACATGTGACACATTGTGAGGAAAATGGGGAATTTGAATCCGTAATTGGAGAGGAGGAACTTGTTGAGGAGAAGAACACCGATGTTGGAGGTGTACCAGAGGATGATTAAGGATGATATGAAGAGGGTAGAAGATGAAGAAGACGACATATCTGGTTTCTGATCTGGGTTCTTCTTGTTCATCTTCATCGATGAGATCGAGAGATTTGGTTGGATTTTTTTTGGTGGGAGAAAGAAGGAGAGAAATTAGCTCCTTGCCTCGAGCATGGGACGACAAAGATGAAGCTCAGATGGATAAAAAATGAAGCCTTTTTTTCAGAGAAAGAAAAATAAATTAAATTGTTGTTTGCCTTGTTTGGTAAATGTAGTTAATACAATTGACCCCAAAAAAAAATTAATTACTGCATTATTAAATTGGAATCTATATTTGGGAAACTGCAGAGAAGGAAAACATTATGAACGGTAATCAAACATTAATAATATCTTTAAAATGTAATAAATAATTAATAAATGAAATTTCAACAAAAAATTATTATAATTAATTTTCATTTAATTTAAATAAATATGTTAATTAAGTTTATATTATATTCAACTAAAAATCTTAAACTAAAATATAATTTTAATCATAATTTAAAATATATTATTTTATTTGTTTCAATATAAATATCTCTTAAATTATTTTATTATAAATATAAAAATTTTAAATAGAGTCTTAAGATTAATTTAACATGATATTCTTATCATAAATATGTTTTCTAAATGTATTGTAAAAATGTGAAAATAATTATATATAAAAATACAAATTTTTTTAATAAACATTATTTTATATTTATTTTGAAATAAAACAAATTTTGATACTACATAATTAGTTGGTTTTATGTGTTATACACTTATACTAGTGATAATTGCAAAGGAAGAAAATTTAACAATCAAGAAAAAGAAAAAAGTTAGGTATGAAATTCGGTTCTCGACCAAATAAAAATTGGTCCAAAATCTATAATTATTCTTTAGTAGGACTAGTTTTAGACATGTGACATGTGTGTATAAGTTCATCTTTATTTTATTTTATTGTCATTGATTAGTGATGTATCTGATATTTCATATTTCTATAACTAATATAAACAGCGAGCAAATATCTCAAAAATAGTATATGCAATTGTCAATTGTGTGTCTAACCAAAACCTATAAAAACTATGATAAATTTGTTCTGACACATTTTGATGTTTCAAATAGCAAAAATGTACAATAGAACTGAGTTAATGACCGATTAAACATTTATTTTGAAATAATCACATACATCCTAATTGACCTAAACATCCTTATTATAAAATACTTTTCAGATAACAAAAACAAAAATATAAACAATCCGGCAAATATGTTGCTTCAACCGAACCGAATTTTTAAGAACCGGAATCGAGTCGAAATAAATAATCGCAGAATACTGAAATTTTTTGTATAGTCGCCAGTCTCTCGTCTGTCGTCTCCTTCAGCGCCATCAGCTAGATATAAAAACTTGGGTAAAAAGCTAATGGAGTTTCCATACTTTGAGATCAACTTTTCTTCGATTCGTGCAATTGGAGTGTGAAAACCCAGCGAAACCTAGACGAAGAACTGGAGTTTAGCATCTCCGATAATGGCCAGTAATAGGGATAGCGTTAGTCTCTCGCGCAGGTTCAAGTACTTACTAGGTTCGTCTTCGTTTTTTCGACAAATTTCTCTCTGTAATTTGCTTCTAATTAGGTTTTTCTGAATTTTGGAATTAGGTACCCAGTTTATTTCCAGAGGCATCTCCTTCACAGTCAATTCCTGGATCGTGAGGCATCTAACGGAAGAAGACTATGCGGTAATCGATCGTTTCACTTTAATTTTTATGTCGAATAGATATATATCTTCTTAGATTTTGCCAATGTAGTAGGTGCTTTGTCTTTTTAAGCTTGATGGAACTGATAAATTTGGCTTGTTGCTGTATTTGTAAAGAATAGGTTTTGTTTCCTATTGCCAAGTAGCAAAACTTGTGCAGGTAGGTTCCCGAATCTAAGATGTGATTGCAGTTGCTACAGTGAGCCGTGGGAAAATTTATCGACTCATGTTTTATAAGTCTTTTAGCTCTGCTTGATTTTACTCAACTTTCATTTGATTAGCTACGTGGATTCTTCCACAAATTCATGAATGCGGTTTTGCTTATTATCTATCTTTTTCCATTGCAATGAAGCTCTACGCCGTCCAGTTCCATCTTTTTGTTACCTGTGTCTTGTTTCTCAGCCGGGAGGGATTTCGGCGCGCTTGCTTGCGGGCTAACATCAAAAGGTATCCTTTACAGCACTTCACATAATCGGTTCAGGACTAAATCTTCGGCCTGTGATATTCCTTAATTTTGTGCTGCAGTAGTGGTGATGTGACTAGGTTATTGAAAGTGGCGTGGTTGACATTTCCACTCGGAATAGCCATTACTATTGCAGCATGCATCTTTGTGTTATGGTGGCAGAACCTTAGTTACTCCGACACATATGCACAGGCTATCCTGATATTCGGTACATTGTTGTCGTTTCCTATGCCTTTTGATCATACTTCTTTGGCTCACAGCCTTGGAATCTGAAAGTTTCTGTTTTGTGGTCCTTTACTTTTATGTCTGTAACAATTTTAGCAAGATCCAATTGTTTTCTTCCCAAACTACGACTTTCTTTTTTCTTGAACAAGTTCCCCATTGATACCTCTTGTCTTTTCCTAAGAAGATTTCTCTTTGTAGTCCAAATTTAGGACTAACCTACTCAATTGGCAGGATCTGCATGTGTACTGGAGCTAATGGCTGAGCCTTTGTATATCCTCTCGCAGACATTGATGCATCTACAATTGCGGCTGATTGTTGAGACTGTTGCTACAGTTTCACGTTGTGTAGTTTTGTGCTCTCTCATAGTCATGCAAACCAACATGGTACATACTTGTGTTAATTAAGTTATTAGTTCTTATACCATTCCATTTCTTTTCTGGCGAAAGAGGCATGCTTGAAGGGATATGATAGAATTAAAATCTAATAATCTTTAACATTTGTAGGAAAAAGGGATAATCTTTGCACTGTCCCAAGTTGCATATGGAGGTTCCTTATTTCTTGGGTACTGGGCTTATTTTCTCTTTTGTGGTGTTTTCAAAAGTTCAGATCTCTTTCCTTTCAGGTATGAGCTCTCTATTACTTGATCTCCTTACCAGAATTCTTAACTCTTAATATATTCCAGTCAACTCATTCATTTCCAGTAATGTTCAACAATTTTGTGATGTCACAGACCCGGGACCTTCATGGATTTCGATGAGCAGCTCTCGAACATGTGTATGCTATTTACTTTTCAGTCCTTCCGAAAGTTGATTCTCCAAGAAGGTGAAAAGTTGGTCCTGGTATGGTTAGATACTTCTTATAATCAGGCTGTGTATGGAATCGTCGACAAACTAGGCAAGTCTTTTCGGTGAAAAATATTAAAGTTCCACGGCGACTTAAGTATATTATATATTATACATCACAAAATCTCTAAAATTCCAGGAAGTTTAGTTGTACGCATGGTGTTTCTTCCTTTTGAAGAAAGTACATACACTACATTTGCCAGTTTCGCATCAGGTTTATCTCTCTCCTGAGTTTAGTGTGGTTCAGTATGTTATAAATCTTAGTTCAAATGTTTCATGACATTGGTTGCCTCCCTGAGTTTCTTAAAGTTCATTACCATATATGGTTTCTGTTTCTCTCTCTCTCTCTTGACAGATGATGATTACCAGGATAAGAGCAGGAAACTTGGAATTTGTCTGACCGAGGCCTTAAAGTTTGTAATATTAATAGGTATATTCCTATCTATTGAAGTAAAACTTCTACTCTGTAATGTGTTTTACCAGTCCCTAAAACTGGGCTTCAGCTTTTCAACTTCATTCCAGATCCTCTATTGTTTTTGTTCCTCAATGTATACAAGACTTTTGACTCTAATCTTCGGTAACATCCTGGCAATTTCTAGGTCTTACATTTATGGCATTTGGCCCGAGTTATTCGTACTCTTTTATCAGATTGTTGTATGGTGAAAAATGGAGCGATGGAGAAGCTTCCTTGGCACTACAGTTTTATTGTCTCTACATCATCGTCCTGGCCATGAACGGTTAGTAATCATATGTAGATTTGCCTAATGCTTATTGAGTTGTTGTTTGCTACAAATCAAGCTTCTTGATTTTGCGGGCACTAGTTGCCTATTTCGGTCTTGTTCCTTTTTAACTATTTTTTTCAGGAACCTCCGAAGCATTTTTACATGCAGTTGGAAAAGAGCATCAACTAAAGCGCTCAAACAACATGTTACTTGTATTTTCATTAATCTACATCATATTAAATATTCTGCTGATAAGATCTTTAGGAGCAATAGGTTTAATCTTGGCGAATTCCTTGAGTATCCTTTATCCACATGTATATGTAACTATTTAAACTAGAATCAGCTTTCGTTCATCTCTGTTTGTCTTCTTAACTCTTCTTTAAAAAAGATATGATTCTCAGGATCACCTGTTCAGGGCGATTCATCCAACATTACTTCCAGGTATTCTTGATTAATCTATATATTACGTTGCTGATAATCATCGTCTTATATTTTTTGTTTGTTTACTAACTCCAAATTTCTCTGCAGGGCACTTCTTCATTCTCATTCCGAAAATGCTTACCTTTAGGCTGGCAGGTTCTTATCTTTTCGGGCATAATCACTCTCATCTCAGAGAAAATCTTTCTTAACCATCAGAATTTCCGGGAGACATTTCCTCTCCATTTCGCCATCGGTTTCCTTTGCATCTGTCTCTCAGCCATTGTCATGTAAGTCCTCTCCAATGGCAACCACAAAATCCATTTCAGAAATCAGACTTTTACTGTGTTTTTTTTTCGTTCTACTATACTGAAGAATGTACTTGAAGTTTCAACAATTGATGATGTGGTTTCGGCATACTATAACATATTTTCTGAAATCTTGTGTTTGTCTCTGATAGATACCGGTGTGAGAGACGGTTCATCAATAGAATCATACGTTTCAGGGACCACGATCACGGTGACTGAGTCAATAAACCATTAAACCGGTGTATGTCCTGGTTTAAGTATAGTTAGGGATCCTTTTTGTTATATTACTCGAAACGTATATATGGTTATGGATACGTTTTCTGTTTTAGGAAGAGAGAGTTGAAACTTTTGTATTACTGAATACTGAATTAATGTTGTAAGTGTAACTCGTAATGAAACTCTATTTGCTCTTCGTCAGAAATGGATTTATTTGGTTTGTGTTTATCAATTACGTGGCCTAAAAGTAATTTCTTGGGTCATGCATACGTAATGCGGTTAGTGTTCAAACCAAAGAAATTTCCGTTGATAAGATTGGACCGAGCCCGCCGGCGCCAGTAGATAGATAGCTGAACTGATGACCAAGTTTCAAAGAAGAACAAAGTAATTGACGCGTCACCTTTGAATTTGGCTATTTTCTTAGCTTGACTACTTGATCACATTTCTAAGTTTTTCATGATGGACGAGGACGACTAGTCTGCCCTGTTTTGTTCCGAATATGCATTTTAGACTTCTTGTTGGTATATACTATGTCTCTCTATTTTAGACTTGTTGTTGGTTTATGTATGGTTCTACTACAATTTAAAATTTTGAGATTGTTGGTAATGGTGGCTGTAGGGGTGTGTCAGTGTGTATATGAATTACTTTGGATGATTTAATAATTTATTGGGCCTCAATACATTCTTTTTCTTTGTCTGCTATTTCATTACCAATAATGGGCCTCTCAATACATTCAACCAAACCGCTTCGTTCATTTTAATTGACGCGTTCAGCCCCGACGCGTGTTATTATAATTACGATTACACCCTCAACGCGTACAAAGCCAATTCGTTCTAATCTAATGGCTTTATCGTAAATACCTTGAATCCAAACCCCAAATATCTTTATATCTGTATATTATATTCAGAGACGTAGCTAATTTCCTTTTTTATATCATCATTCCAAATTTCGCAAACTAATTTGTTCACTTTCTTCTTTGATCTCTCTGAAAAAACTTAAAGCTTCTCTTCTTCTTCTTCTTCTCACCATGTCTGGTTATCCTCCATCGAGCCAAGGTTACGGTTACGGCGGTAATCCACCACCGCCTCAGCCACCGTACGGATCATCCGGCAACAATCATCCTCCCTACGGATCATCCGGCAACAATCCTCCTCCCTACGGATCATCAGCCTCCTCACCGTACGCTGTTCCGTACGGAGCTCAGCCCGCGCCTTACGGTGCACCACCGTCAGCACCGTACGCGTCTCCTCCAGGAGACCATACTAAGCCGCACAAAGAAAAACCTCACGGCGGCGCTTACGGATCTCCATCTCCCGGTGGTTACGGTGGTTACGGAGGAGCGCCGCAGTCAGGAGGACATGGAGGAGGTTACGGAGCTCCTCCTCCTCAGCAAGCTTCTTATGGAAGTCCGTTTGCGTCTCTGGTTCCGTCGGCGTTTCCTCCCGGAACAGATCCGAGCATCGTGGCTTGTTTCCAAGCTGCGGATCGGGACAATAGTGGATTCATCGATGATAAGGAGCTTCAGGGAGCTCTCTCTTCCTATAATCAGAGCTTCAGCATAAGAACTGTTCATCTTCTTATGTATCTCTTCACCAACAGCAATGTCAGGAAGATTGGTCAGTTTCTTCTTTCTTTCAAACCAATCTCAATTGATTGTTCTAGGTCTTTCCTTTTTTGCTCTTCTTAGAAAGTTCCATTGTCTTGCTTCCACAATCTAGGTTTGAGTTTTTGGAATTAACTTGTTGAACTTTCCTCTGCAAATTGTTTCGTTTGACTTTGATTGTTTGTGCCCAACCTCTCCATTATACCAAATCCTCAAGTTATATTGTTATTAATTCAAGTTGAAGCTATTAAAAAAAAGTCAATCTTTTTAATTATTCTTCATGCTTGCCTGGTTTTTGAGTATATATTGATTTAAGAATTCCAAATTGCAGGACCAAAAGAGTTTACTTCTCTTTTCTTTAGTCTTCAGAATTGGAGGGTAAGTTTAACAGTTTTTCTCTAATGGTTTGATGATATTTGTTGGTCAAGAATGAATGTTGGAGTTAGCTCATGTGGTTTTGGGTTTTTGGAATTGGTTTCAGTCTATCTTTGAGAGGTTTGATAAGGACAGAAGTGGTAGAATAGATACAAACGAGCTGAGAGATGCACTCATGAGCCTTGGGTTTTCAGTGTCTCCTGTGATTTTGGATCTGCTCGTTTCCAAGTTTGACAAAAGCGGTGGCAGGAACAGGGCTATCGAATATGACAATTTCATCGAGTATGTTCATTAGTTTCAACCCTCCTTACATTTTTTCTTACTCTGTAAGAGGTATAATTAATTCATCACTGATTCTGGTTTATATTTCCATTGATGCAGGTGTTGTTTGACTGTAAAGGTATGATATTTTCATTGCTTGGGTCGTCACATTTGAATTATTCAAGATTGTTCCTCTACAATGTGCATAATGTATGTTGTGTTTTGATAAAAATAATTGCAGGGGCTGACCGAGAAGTTCAAGGAGAAGGATACGGTGTTATCAGGCTCAGCTACTTTCAATTACGAGAACTTCATGCTCACTGTTTTACCATTCCTCGTCGCTTAAGTGATTGTTTTCTTTTTTTTTTTTTTGTGGACCAAAAAGTGATTGTTTTCTAACTCTCTTTTCTTTGTGAGCTTTTGGATTTTTTATTTGTTGTCTTTTTTTATCTTTCTCGTCCTTGCCTCTGTAAGATTCAGACGTGGCTCTTCTCTTCATATGAGCAAAACCTTAGTAACCAAGTCTTGTGGAATAAGTTTGAATGGACTAGAGCCCAATATTTCCAATTACATTAACGACAGCATTTGTGTTTCAAACTCGATTTTCTTAAGTTTCGAGGCCAAGTAATCCAAATGGGTATGAAGAAGCCACAATCAAATTATTACGCCATGTATATATAAATCGTACATATTCACGTTTGTGTGGTACCCTTTTCTTTTAAAGTTGTGTTCTCTCGGAATTTAGTAACAGATTATCAATATTTGGATTAGATTTGTCTTCCAGATTATGGCTGGTTTCTTCTTATTTTTTAGATCACTTATGTTTTAAGTGTTAATAATCTTATGGATATGATCTATAAAATCTATTGTGACTGGATGTGTAAAGAGTATTCATTAGTGATGCAATGGTTATCACATGTGTCTTAATAGTTGGTGAAAGTGCAAATTTTCATGGTTAGCATAATCTATAAACTTTTTGGCTCTATCAAGGAAAAATAAGTAATTTCTCTCATCACTCTATCCATTATTTTCTTGTTATTCTACTACTGTTTGAAATTCATACTAACATTAACAATTTAACATAAATGTTGTTTTCATATACATTTAAGTTGGTAATGCAGTGGATGTTCCTCTTACGATCTAACTTTTTAATTATTTAAGAAAAAACAAAAAACGCCGCACCGTGCAATTGACGCAACACGTCGAATAAATCTGAACCGTTGATTTAATTAAAAAATTTCTAAATCTAACGGCTGAGCAAGACTAATTTGAATATGCAACCCTAGATCTCTTAGGACAAAGTTTTTCAATATCTCAATATCTCAAAACTCAAAACTCATGGTCGATTTAGAAAAAAAAAAGTCATGTGAAAGGTAAATGCGGCATGAAAAATTCATTTTTGAAAAACATATGGAGAAGAAACATAGATGATCACTAATCATCACTTTTTATTGGAGCTATTTTCTTCACAATAATTTATATTTGAGTGACACAAAATGCACTAATTTAGTATTATTCATTATAGAAGTCTACAATTACATTTATAATACTGACATCCATGCTCATGGTTAATGTGTTCCGATAGAATAATATCGATACAAAAGAATTTGGATGCTCTTTCAGAGTTTAAATAATATGAACATAAGACATTTATGTGGATTTATCTAATAAAAATTGTCTTTTTGTATTAGTTAGAAGAAGTTTATTTTTTTGTCTCATCAGTTATATCAATAAATGTTAGTATCATTATTTTTACAAATATGAAAATATTATTTATTCTGTTTTTACAAACAAAAAAAAAGCTTATTTTATTCTGTTTTAAGTACTTCAGTAGAAAAAGAAGAAGACAATCCCAAATAGTTAAGAAAAATCAAAAGCAAAAAACGTTACATTTTTGGAAAAAAAATATCTTTAATGACGGTTAATAGAAATAAATCCCTACATCTTCACAAATGATTGGTGAACCCTTAAATACTTTCTATCTCTTTCTAATTTTTTTTAACAAATGTAGAGAAATCTAGGATGTGGTTTAAACTTTAAACTATGAAAATCGTGATGATTAGTTAAAGATGATTTTTATTTCCCAATATTAGCATAACTAACAAATTTGAAATCCAATGTAATTAAAAAAATAATTAAAACTGCTTTGCTTTACCATCTTCGAGAAATCAGAAGCCGTTGACACATATGCGAATCGGACGGATAAGATTAGTTCACGAGATATTTGAATTCAAACACAGTAAAAGAGTTAACGTTACAATTTTGTCCGCTTAGCTTTGGATCCGAACCTAACTAAATATCCGAACCAGAAAACACAAAGAAAACGAATGAAAGAAAGCTTCGAATTATAAAGAAAACATTCTAAGCGATTCAAAGAACCAGAATCAGAGAAGAAGAAGAAGACGAGACTCTCTTCAATTTTTCTAGGGTTTTGATCTGTTGCCCAGAAGGAAAGAAACAGAGTCCATAATTGGTAACTTCGATTTTGTTTCCTTGGCTGATTCTCATGTGCATTGATTTTGATTGACTAATCAAATTTTTTTTCCCAGGAAGAGATTAACGAGGATTTGGACTCTAATGACCACTGGGTTGCATGAATTCAATCTGGCTTCAAGAAGAGCCGAAGAAGCAGGTTCGTAACATTTCTCTGGTTGATTCGGAAAAAAGATCGGAAAAGTTCTGTTTCTGATTTGTTTACTGTTGCAGCGGCGAGGAGGTTTCAAGCCGTGCAATGGCTTAAATCTGTAGTGGGTCAACTAGGTATACCGAATCAGCCATCGGAGAAGGAGTTCATTTCTTGCTTGAGAAATGGTATGATTCTTTGTAATGCAATCAACAAGATCCACCCAGGAGCCGTTTCCAAGGTACTCTTTGCTTTGATTCAATGTCATTGTTCGAAAATTCCTCTGTATTATGACCTAAAATTTGGGTTACATTGTTTACTTAAAGGTTGTGGAGAACTACTCGTATTTGAACGGAGAGTATCAACTTCCCCCGGCTTATCAATATTTCGAGAATGTTCGGAATTTTCTCGTGGCTCTAGAAACATTGAGGCTTCCTGGATTTGAAGCTTCTGATCTTGAAAAGGTAACATATTTGGAGATTTTTTTTTCTTATTGTAATGGTTTGATTGTGTTATAAGGTATGAATAATTGAGTATGATGTGTAATGTGACAGGATAATCTAGAGTCTGGATCAGTGACCAAGGTTGTGGATTGCATTTTAGGACTTAAGGCATACCATGAGTGCAAGATAACGAGCAATGGTAATGGGTTATACAAGCACGTCAAAACGCCGACATTTCAGCTCTCTGCGACTAAGATTCAGCCTCTAAGTGCTTCCAAAACGTCTAGGCATTTAGATATGTCCACAGTCCGTGATACAAACGATTGCACTGATGGTGAATCTGATAAACTCAAAGGTTTGATCCATGCTTCTTATCAACCTTTCATCCAAGTCTTATGTTAAGGATACTCTATATCCTCTAGTTGACTTATGTTAAATGTAATTTATTTTAACACCAATCTTACTGCATTTGGATTGGATACTTGTAGAGATAGCCAAGTTGTTTGCCGATCATATTTTCAATTCCAAGGAAAATATTGATGAGAATCTTATTTCATTAGAGAATGGCACTGGGGTAAGTTGAAATGTTCTGCACTATTTGTTCAAGTATTTATACTGTAACAGTCATATCCACTTGGTTAAATTGCTTTAATTCTTTGAATTGCAGAATCCTAGAGCAAACTTCGAGAAAATCATCTCAAGATACCCAGAGGTGAGATTTCAAGTTGAGAATTTGACTTGTGTAGGAATGCTGGATAGAATTTGATAACTTGCTATATAGAATAAATAGAGCTCCCTGTATTCACTATCCCATTGGCCAATTTCTGGCTTTGCCAATCAATCTTAGACTTGTTGCCTACTAATGATCTGTTCCTAATTTGGCAAGTATCATACTTCAATAGTACTTTGATAGATTGGTCTGACACTTATGATATTTTTGCCTTGTATCTATATACAGCTTCAGTCAGTATTCAAGAATTTACTTAGCGAAGGTACTTTGAAACCACCAGAATTAAAATCAATGCTTCTGGAGGAGTTACCTGTCCATGAAGAAGACCAAGTATGTTTTTTTGCTTTTCTTCTTTACATGTGACTCGAAACTCTTACCTTAGAACTGCATTCTAATTGTTTAAAAGCGTTTCATATCTTAGTTTACGCTAACAGATTATTGGTTTTATTTTGCACAGTCCAGCAGAAGTCTCCTACACAAGACAAATTGCAACCATAAGCGTTTACTGAAAACACAAGAAAAGGAGCTTTCGGTACGTTTGCATTTAATCTGTCATTTGGAAAAAATACTTATGGCATGCCTCTCTTTCTGTCAACACCTTTTGGCAAGCTATCTTGAATTTAGTTTCTTATTTGTCTGGCATGTTATTTCTTATCCAAGATGTTATTTATACTTAACAAATTGATCAGAAATCCTATGCATTACTTTGTTTTCTAAGCCAGTTATGCTTCTCTTGTTTAGGTTCTCAAGACCTTGTTTATAAAAACGAAGCAGGATTTTAAGGAATTTCAGGTTCATTTGCAAAGAGATTTGATGGAGCTAGGTAAGTTTGTTTTCTGAGATTTCATTTCTAGAGATGTCATTTCATCTTCAATTACAATCTCATTTTCTAGTTTCAAATTCAATTTACTGTATTGCACAGGGAATCAGATGCAAGAGATGTCATCAGCAGCTCAAGGATATTACAAAGTGGTGGAAGAGAACCGAAAACTATATAACATGGTGCAAGATCTTAAAGGTAGAAAATCGTTAACACAAGTTGTGCTCTTTTAATGGAAGTCCTGATGCTATGTCTTGAATCTGCAGGAAATATAAGAGTGTACTGCAGAGTTAGACCGATCTTCAATAGTGAAATGAACGGAGTAATAGATTATATAGGGAAAGATGGCTCTTTATTTGTTTTGGATCCATCGAAGCCTTATAAAGATGCAAGAAAAACGTTTCAATTTAATCAAGTATTTGGTCCAACAGCAACTCAAGGTAACTTTGCAATGTCTCAGAGGGTGTATAAACTTGTGTTAAGTCTCACACTTCTTTGTTCTAGTAAGATATCTTTCAAACTTTTAAAGCTATGTGTACAGATGATGTATTCAGAGAAACGCAACCATTAATCAGATCAGTGATGGATGGTTACAATGTCTGCATTTTCGCTTATGGTCAAACTGGATCAGGGAAGACATACACAATGGTGAGAAATTTTCTACAGACTAGACCATCTTCTTGCTTTCTACATATATAGTTACTTATCATTTTATTCTTTTTGATGCAGAGTGGTCCTCCAGGTAGATCAGCTACTGAAATGGGAATAAACTATCTAGCTCTCAGTGATCTCTTTCTGATATGTGATAAAAGAAAGGATATGATGACGTATGAGATATACGTCCAAATGGTCGAAATCTACAATGAGCAAGTCCGAGACCTTCTTGCAGAAAATTCCTCCTGCACCAGATATCCTTTCATGGCTGCTGAAAATTCAATTTAAATTACCATGAATTTCTGCTTCATTACCTAGTGTTCTTCTTGACTATATGTGCACATTAGATATTCGAACTTGTTCCAGCGAGGATGATGGCTTGAGTCTTCCAGATGCTACAATGCATTCTGTGAATTCCACCAAGGATGTCCTTCAGCTGATGGAGGCTGGAGAAGTGAATCGTGCAGTCAGTTCCACATCCATGAACAATCGAAGTAGCCGGTCTCACAGGTACATAACTCAAAACTACACTTTCAGAGTTATGGAATTACTTGTGATCTAAATTAATTATGCTTTTGTAGTATTTTTATGGTGCACGTACGTGGGAAAGACACATCTGGGGGAACCCTCCGAAGTTGCTTGCATCTGGTGGATCTTGCAGGGAGCGAGAGAGTAGATAAATCAGAGGTTACTGGAGACAGACTTAAGGAAGCACAGTATATCAACAAATCTCTTTCTTGTCTCGGAGATGTGATTTCTGCATTGGCTCAGAAGAATTCTCACATCCCCTACCGAAACAGCAAATTGACTCTTCTACTTCAAGACTCATTAGGTACTAATATCTTAGCCAAGAATCCTTCCATCGCTGTTTGTGAACAAAAAATATTCACTGAATTTTTGTCATGTCTTCATTTCAGGAGGACAAGCCAAAACATTAATGTTTGCTCATTTGAGTCCTGAGGAAGACTCCTTTGGGGAAACAATCAGTACTTTGAAATTTGCACAAAGAGTTTCAACAGTCGAACTTGGAGCTGCTCGTGCACACAAAGAGACTAGAGAGGTTATGCATCTCAAGGAGCAGGTTTGTAGAGACTAATCCTTGTTTAGAAGCTAAACAGTAACAAAATTCGTTTCTAGTTTATTTTACATCTTGTGAGCCAACAAACATTTTGTTCTTCTTTCAGATTGAAAACCTGAAGAAGGCTTTGGGTACTGAAGAAAATAATAATGTTTCCAACAGTGGAGCAAAGGAGGTAAAATCTCCTTTCGGCAGGCCATTTGCAACAACAGAGAGAACTCCTCCACGTCTCAGAAGATTAAGCATCGAAAACTGTAGCAACACAAAGGCAAACCTTGAAGACAGGAAAGGTATTAAATCACCTTTAGCCTCCCGTCGTGCACAAAGATTGAGTTTGGAGGGACCAAAGTCCTGTAAAAACGAAGAAAACTGTAAAGGAGATCCCACCATGGAAGTGCACCAGCTCAAGAATCCACGGAGTCCTCTAAGCTCTTATCAAAATCGAGCAGTGAAAGTAGAGGGCAGAACAAGCATTCCTCAACTCCAGCTATTGCAAACACCAGTTAAAGGAGCTTCCAGAAACGACATACAGATGATTTCTGTGGATTCTAGGACAAATGGAAAAGGTTCACAAATACGGAAGTCCCTGAGGACAATTGGAAAGCTGATCAATGGTTCAGAGAAGAGGTATGACAAAGACTTTATATTATTATTTCAATCTGCATGATAAATTATGCATTTACCAGTGTTTATTGAAAACGTTTTTGTTGCCACAGGAAAGAGAACATTCCTGCAGATCCACGGTCACCAGTTGCGAATAATTTCAGTCATATAAAGTCCCCGGACACAAGCAACGCTAAGACTATGCGACGGCAGTCACTCACAGGTGTAATGCCACCAGGGCAAGAAAGATCGCGTAGATCCTCAATAGGAGGAAAACCAATTGAGAATGGTAAGAAAGTTCACGTCTCTTTACGCCTTTTTCGTCTGAACAAACTCAATAACTATGATTTTGCTTTTGTAGGTGTAAATGTAACTGATACAAGAAATGCCAAGACACCTCCACCTATGCGTTCAGCATCAAAGATAGGGAAGAAATGGGCATAAAAAGCTATTGAAGAATTACAAGTTTTCTTGCTTTGGCTCGAAGCACAGTATCTCGTTGAAAGTCTTTTCAGCATCTACACTTCAGTTTCCATTCATTAGGATGAAACTGTTTTTTCTTCTTCCTGAGTAAATAAGAACTCAACTTTAGAGTGCTCTGACTGTAACATAGATGGCTCTTGTTTAAGCCATTCTTTTAACAGTTTTTTTTTTTTGTTAGTGTCTCAGCAACATTGAATTCATTTATGTCACGGTTTCATTTAAATCTTTACAAATATAACTCTGTAGTTTGTGCAGACTATACAGCAACAACAAAAAGAACTTTCAAAACTCATTTCAGGTCAGCTAATCGATTTTGAATACGCATCAACCAAAACCTTCTTGAATCTATGGAGATCTAACCTCACTTTCTGGTCGTTCAGGTATATCCCCTTTGTGAATTGCCATCCTTTCTTAGTGATGCTGTTTGGATCTCTTAGAATTGGATCATCTTTATCATATTTTTCATACAATGAGCTCTCTCTTGGAAGAATCTTATAACCAATGTAGTCTAGACCGAGCTTCTTTGCCGGTTCTCCATAATATGTCTCTGCTGCCCAATCTGTCCCCAATGGAATGATCTGAATAAAGATACTTCCAGGTTTCATGAACAGAAAATGGGTCATGGCTGCTCCATGTACCCCAACCATGACTTTGCTTGAGTTAAGCACTCTGTAAATCTTTGCCAGTTCCGTTGTTCTGTCAGGTCTCAATACCTCGACTTCAAACCCGATCCTCTGAGCCAATTGCACCATCAGATCCTCGTTTGTTATCCCTCGAGACCCGGTTCTTGAAAACAACGCTAGTTTTGGCCTCTGAGCCTTTCTTCTCTTTGCTACTCTTGCGTGGAACCGTTGCTCCTCTAGCCTGTCCAGTCTGTTGATTCGGGGTCTATACGCTCGATCAAGTACATTTCTAAACTCATTGATGGTTGTTCTACCATCTTGCATCTGAGAAGGATCGACGGTTAACTCACCATGGATTCTAAGACCAACAATGGCTTCCTTGAAGCAGTGAGTTCTCTTGTCTTTGTTGAAATCAATAAGAGGATAATCAGAGAGCTGAGAGAGAACATCTCCATACTTCATCTCCCACCACTTGTGATACTCAGCAATCACAAAGACAACCTTTTTGTTGAAACGTTTAGATGTTATATACAAAGGAATAAGCCCGTCGTTGAACTCATGATACAAGTTTCCGGTATACCCTCCGGTAGAGAATAGCACGGCGGGTACTTCATGGATCACTTCACATTTATGCTTGTCGCCAAAAAGCTTCACATCTTTTGTCACAAGTTTCAGCTCATGGATGGTTTCCATTATACTTGTTTCCCATTTTCTGGTGTATGGTTTGATTTTGTCTTGCAAAACATGATCGGTGAGATCATTCGAGGCGTAGAGAAAGATAGAGGAAGAAGGAGAGTGTGTTCTGATATCGCCTTTCATGAAACAGATGTCTGAACGATACCCGGTTCTGTCACAAGATATGCTCTCTTCTGCATAATTACATAAAAGAAATACTTAAAATCCTCTTGCTTGATGTTTCAAGAACAGTAAGAAACAGAGAATTAAGTACTAAGTACTAACCATTTTGTGACGTCTTAGGTGATTCTATATGGCTTTGGGAAACCCGATTTTCAATCTCTTTAATTGAAGAATCTGCCAAAACATGTGAAGTGAAAGTAGTTTAGGGCAACAACAAGAACAAACAACAAAAGAGGACAGAAGTGATTTCTTGTACTAAAATCATACCGATGAGAAACAGAGCAGATGGATAAGGGAAACAGAGGAGATCAGGAGCAAAGACAAAGCAACTTGAGATAAGAGAGAAGAGAAGAAGATAAATAAGTTTAGGCTTCGATCTCTTTGCGCAATTCCCACAAGAATTTTTAAACCGGAAGACATAAGGAAATAGCTTCGGAGATTCGTCTACTTTGATCGGTGCTACTTTTTTCAGATTCTGCCTCATCCTTTACTTGTTATTCAAGTCATATAGGTGAAGAACACACAGAGAGAGACGTATGCAGAGGAAATAGTAATCTTTTCTTCTTTGTGAACAGAATTTGTCTATCTATCTCCTTGGATACGTAAGGGGAGAGCAAGTAGAGAGGAGAGAGAGTAGATGAGAGATAGAGAGAACTTTTCTGGGTATTGTTGTAAGGTTTTGCTTTGAAATCAGAGTATTTATTTAGAGAGAGACGTTAGCATACTATTCTTTGGAAGGGAGACGAAATTTGGTATTGTTGTTTAAGAGAGAGAAACATACCAAGTCTTGGGATGTCTTCGAAATACTGAGAGAGGAATGAGGAGACGTGTGGGAGAACGAGAAAGGGACTTTGGCCAAACCCATCATTCATCTTTAGGCTTATATAGGTTTCTTGCATCACAAGATTCCTTTTCCTTAAATCATGTTTGGTAAAATAACTAATTACTAGTATTACTTTATACTCGTGTTTAGTTGAAATCATCCTATCAGTCACATACTCAACTTCCTTAAATGGAATTTAGGTCTTAATCAGCATGTAAAGAGAAACTGCTTTAAGTTAAATAATGTAACTGGACACCAAATATATGACAAACAAAATTCAATGTATTCTTTCTTGCGTGCTGGAGTCTTTTTTATCTAGGTTCCAGCTAATTTTTTTGATCTTTATTAATTTTGACTAATTACAATTTTATAGGTTGAACCGGAAAATAAAATAATAAAAACTCACTGAAAGACTGCATGATCCAAGACTAGTTTTATGGTTCAACCCAAAAAAATAAGTTGTCATATAGCACAAGGCATCGAAACATAAAATTTGTTTATATTGATTAAAATTATAAATTCTAATTAAAATTATAAATTCTAATTAATGATGAGACCAATCTACTCATCATATATGGATGACTAATTAAGAATAAAGAATTTCAAATAATTGGACATTTTAATATTATTAAACCGCGTAGAATGTCATTGGCAAAGGAAGAAGAAATGATCAAATAGAAGCATATGGAGGCGTTCTTAACGGTCAAATACATACAACATGTCATTTTCCAATAAGTACCATTTTTCCCTTTTTTTTTTTTCGACAAGTACCATTTTTTTTCCTTTGTTGCTACTTCTGTTGCTCTAATATTTGATATAACTCTTTTAATTAAAAATATAGTCAAAATCCAAGGAGTTTATCCAAAACCAAAAGGAATTGGTAGGCAAAAATAGTCAAATAAAAAGTTCACTGGTGGACGAAAATTCTAGAATATAAAGAATGAAAAAAATACAAATAAGAATATGATATTCAACTAATCTTGTTCAGCAGATTAGAAGATAGATATTATCTACTATCGTACAAACTAAATAATTCATGTATAGTTTAAGTTATTTAGAAATTTCTAACGTCGATATAAAGTATTGCAATCCACTTTAGACCAATTGTTCGAAGAGATGTAAATAGGTCTAATATCTAAATTCATTTGAAACTAGTAAAAAATAGCAAGAGGGTTTGATTAAAAACGGTGTATATATAAGGATATATAACTGTCATATACACTACGTATTTGTATAAAAACAGAATGAGAAATGATGATGTTGATGCCAATATTTTACCAAATTTTTGCACTAGATCATTGACGTGTATATTTTATTGCCTCGTGTAATTTTTTTTTATGTTTCTTGATATCTCTTTTTTGCCTCCTGTAAATTTTAGGTTATATATTGAAACAATTAATTACTGTGAATTTCTTAAAAAAATATACGATGAACTGCAATATAAGTACGCAAAGATGTATCATTGGAGACCGCGACTTTGCTTTATAGGGAATTGTGAATTTATCCATATCGACTTTTAGATGATCATAAGTCATAATACATTCGATGACTGTGGATTTTCTATAAAAAAATATACAAAGAAAGAGGAGAGACTCGTCGGCCAAAATCAAAAATAGTGCATAAGTTTAATACACATATAACACTTGTCTTAATCATCTGCTTACATGTGGTTAGTTCATATGTCAATTTTGAGTTTGCTGTATAAATAAATTTGATTAATTAAATAGGACATAATTATAAAAGTTCAAAAGAAAACAAAACTTGAATTCTTAGGGTTTAGTTTAAGAAAGTTCATAAAAGTCAATCATTATTATATAATTAAATAACATTGTGAGAGCCTGTAGATCATTTATATGCATTTCAATTCCTATAATCCGATCCTAACTGGTATGGTGAGAGCATGGCATGGAGCTCTCTATACGCTATGTCTTACATATGTGTGAGTGTTGTTAATTGGTATTTGCCTGGTTTTGTCATGGATCATGTTTATTTGGTGTGTCATGGCCCATGTGTGATAATCTCATGTATATGTATGATGGGCATGAACATAAAAGTAAAAAGAATTATTTAGTGAGTGGCAGACCAAAAAAACAATTTAGGGCTTCAAAATGTTGGGCCGGGTTTGTTTCAGAGCCTATTATCCTATCACAGATGGGTCTGAAGAAGTCTGAAACAAACAAAACATGTCTGTCATATCAGCCGTTGGATCATCAATTGACACGTGGACGGTAGATATATTCCTCAGTTCGGTAACATCGCATTTAATTTTGATAATTCGGAAAAAAAAAAAAAAAGAGAACAAAACAAATCGTTGAAAAAGTAAGTAAGCAAGCTCAAGGCGCGACGAGGAAGAAGAAGAAGAAGAAGGAAAGTGGCAATCTTTCGTAACTATAGTCCAAATCGGAGTTCAATTACTCAAAAGGGGTTTTAGGGTTTTCTTGTGAGAGAGAAAGAGAAGCTATGAGTGACGCCTTTTGTTCGGACTGTAAGAGGCACACGGAGGTTGTGTTTGACCATTCCGCCGGAGATACAGTTTGTTCAGAGTGTGGGCTCGTGCTTGAATCGCACTCAATCGATGAAACTTCGGAGTGGCGTACCTTCGCTAATGAGTCAGGTGATAATGATCCAGTTCGTGTCGGTGGTCCGACGAATCCTCTTTTAGCTGATGGTGGTCTCACTACTGTCATTTCCAAACCTAATGGATCCTCTGGCGATTTCCTCTCTTCTTCTCTTGGTCGATGGCAGAATCGTGGATCTAATCCCGATCGTGGCCTTATTGTTGCTTTCAAGACTATCGCTACCATGGCTGATAGGTACCTTTTTCGATTCTAGGTTTTGTTTTCTTTAAGCTCAATTTCTACAATTCACTGTTTTCATGAAGCTCAATTTCAACAATTCAATGTTTTCTTGGATCCGATATTTTGTTTATGGTCAGAAATTTTGAGAATTTTAGTATCTAGAAGCTCAATTTAGTGAATCTTATGATGGGTATAAGCAAATGTATGTCACTGAAAATAGAAACTATCTATTTTTAGATATCTAGGAATTGAAGAAAACTTGAGTCTTGCTCATTATTACTTGGTATAATACGATTATCAATTGGTTCTAAGTTATGGAATGTTATTGTGAGGTGTTTTCACTCTAAGTTAGGTTGTTTGACAAATGCCATTTACTAATTCGATGAACCTTGTTGTTCCTCCAGGTTGGGACTTGTGGCGACCATCAAGGTACTCTCTTTCTCTTAGCAATCTTATGGCTTTTGCTTGCAATGCTTTCTGTTTTGTTAAGTTGCTGATGGTTTCTTGGAATTTAGCTTGCCATGGTTTTAATTTTCTGTGCTTTTTTGCAATCATGTACCAAAAATTTTGCTCTTCTATTGAAGGACCGAGCAAATGAGATTTATAAAAGGGTTGAGGATCAGAAGTCAAGTAGAGGAAGAAATCAGGATGCTCTTTTGGCTGCCTGTTTATACATTGCTTGCCGGCAAGAAGACAAGCCACGAACTGTCAAGGGTACAAAACAGTTATAGAGTCTTTTGTACTAACTGTTCTTTAATCATTCACCATTCTCGTTTTCTTAACCCTCACCAATTTTATGTAGAAATATGCTCTGTTGCCAATGGAGCTACTAAGAAGGAGATTGGTCGCGCAAAAGAGTACATAGTCAAACAGTTGGGGCTGGAAACCGGACAGTCGGTTGAAATGGGTACTATACATGCTGGAGATTTTATGGTGAGTTCTTTACTCAGTGCTTCTTGGTACATGTATCCACGGTTTTCATCAACTTGATTGGTAAATTTTCAGAGACGTTTTTGCTCCAATCTTGGTATGACCAACCAAACCGTGAAAGCTGCTCAAGAATCTGTGCAAAAGTCAGAGGAATTTGATATAAGGTTACACTATTAACCATTATTGTCTTATTACTTTTGTTTTCTGGATGTATCGGTTCACAGCCATTTACACAAAGCTTTTTAACCTGTTGCAGGAGGAGTCCCATATCGATTGCAGCAGCGGTGATATACATCATAACACAGCTCTCTGATGAGAAGAAGCCTCTCCGAGGTATGTTCCATTCACATTTTATGAACTGAAACAGTCTAACATCAGAACTATAATTGAAATTTTGAACCTGCAGATATATCGGTAGCAACTGGAGTCGCGGAAGGAACTATAAGAAACTCTTACAAAGATCTTTACCCTCACCTTTCGAAGATCATACCAGCTTGGTACGCTAAAGAAGAAGATCTCAAGAACCTTCAAAGCCCTTGAGTATCTTCTTCTTCTACTCTCATACTCGCAGTCATGCCTTCGAGTTTCGATTGGGATTATGGGTTAAAAAGTTGTTTTTGTCCAGAAGTGCGACTCGAGCCACGCTTGAACAAGAGTTTTACAGTAGATTTGTATCACTTTTTCTCCATAAGGTACCATACATTGTTGAATTAGTGAAATGGTATTTCTAGTTGATCCCACCATTTCCAGCACCATGCCACTGGGCTCTGACCTATTAAACCCTGCTAATTAAGTCAATGGTTTTAAGGATTGATTAATGTTTACTTCTTAACAAAGGAAACAAAAGATCTCATTGTTATATGAGTAGATTGTAATGGAGATTAATTTGTAATGTTCTATCGCCGGTACACAAGCATTTGAAGCAGTGCAGACTTTGAAAAAATTAAGAGCTAAAGATTTATATGGGTAAAGGGAAATGGTTCCAAATTAAATACAGAAAGCTTTTACATGTATGGTTTCCAGCAGACTAAGATTATTTCGAATAGAAAGGAAAAATGATTTCTGAGAAAATATTATAACTTTCATGCAGAAATTAATAAAGACATAAAATAAACGAAAACGAAACGACAACTTTGCTCATCATTGGTTTAAGTTTACCTACCAAGAGATTGGATAAAAATGGAAATCTACAATCTTTGGCAGAGATTGGATAACCTTTCACCTTCTATTAAAAGTCCTCAAATCATCATTTTTGTAACAAGAAAATTTTTGAAGTCATCAAGGTTTTTTCAAGTACATATATTCCTGGTTCAATTATTTCCAGAAGATATTAAATTAAAGAAGAAAACAAAACTACATATCAGGTACATGAATTATTTTGAAAGCTGCATAAATGTAACAGAAACTCTTTAATTTTAAACATGCCAATCTGTATCTAGAGTGCTTTCTACATACACACTCACTTTGGATCGTAATATCTAAACCAAAATATATAGAAGTGATAATAATAGACTCAAACAAATGACGTTTTTTTTTTTTTGGTGTGTGTGTGAATCAAACAAATCAAGTTATTCCATCAACCTCTAAACCAGTTTACAGTAGTATATATAAGAATACTTTTTATTTGAATTATTCGAGAGGGTTGGTTTTTTTTTTTATCTTGCTTTTGTTTTTAAGAGATGTATATACAGTAATATGTATATGAAAAGTCCATGATATATATAATAATTATTACACAAACCCTACCATAAGATTGGTGAGACTGTGAGAGGTATGAGTATGACTATGGTTGGTGAAGAGGAGGAGCGGAAACGACTTCACCCAAATCTTACCAACTCCTATGTCCTATCCTATCCTATCCATTATATATCAAATTCTTTAATATTTATATCATATTCCTTGCAATCAACTTATGTGTTTGGTAAGCTTTTCGCCATCTATATAGAGAATTATACGTACTTAACTTCCATTCCCATATATATAAAATCAATTTCTAACTATTTCATGCTTTGTTCTTTCGCTTATGAATCGTCGATTAGTCACGAGGCTCAATTCCGGATGTCTTTGGAGTTTTGAGTGTTGTCCACTTTCCCCCCATATAATTATGGATTCCAATTGTCTATGTAATATCTCCCTCCAAAGCCGATTTAGGTGGAGTTATACTTATACCCATCTTAATTATTAAAAAGGTTAAATATTGAAGACTTTATATATATATATATATAAAACCAATTTAGACAAGAAAAAATTCAATATAAATTAAAATGGTCGACCCGCGTTTGCCTAAAATGCCTTGGATTCGGAAACAAACACATCATGCAAAAATTAAATGAGTTGTATTAGCTTGTTTGGTACATGAGACCGGCCGTTCGACCGAAATGGTAGTCGTGTGAATGCAACAGCAATCGAATGAGTTATAGACAAACAAAAATAATACCTAACTTATGGATTTTACCAAAAAAAAAATACCTAACGTATTCAGTTTCTATAAAAAGATACCTACCTGGTTTTGTAATAAATGACATTCGATCAAATATACGATCTGGATAAGATTTGGCATATATATATGACATGAGCTATAAATGAAACAACCATTTTTATATCAAAAGAAAAAACTAATTTTTCTGAAACAACATGTCAGAACCATTTCATGCAAAGAATGTTAATCACGAAATATAAAATAAAGTTTTATATGGTTAAGAAAACTAATACATAAAAAATTGTTAAAAGTTTGGATTTGTGGTCTTCCTCACACCAGACCAAACATCATGTCCCTATCTCTGGCAATACCTGACGCTCGAGCTCGACAAGTAAAGAAGACTCAGGATACATGGAAGCCACGTGGCATATATATGTCCGTCCAGATTGCATTTAACATCCGACGGTTGTGGACACATTTCAACTAACCCGACTCTCGTTCTCACTTCTCACCAACTCTTTGCGTCTGTCTATTTAAAACCTCCGATGTCGCTCACCTTTCCCTCAGGAAATTTATTTGCTATTGAATATAAATTTCCCTTTTTATTTCTCCCTTTACTTTTTTTTTATAATCTGCAAAAAGAAAATTCAATAGTTCTTGTAAGCGCAACGTGTAAGTAGAGACATACACACATTTGTAGTGTTTTGTTTTGTATAATAACATCATCACATAGAGAAAGAAGAAATCAAGACGACCATATTGTTTTAGAAACCGGGTCGGATTCAAAAAAACCCGTTTTCTTTAACCGAGTCGGCGCTCACATGGAGCTATGCAATCAAAACAACCACATCACCGGCGATCCGTTGAACTGGAACGCGACGGCGGACGCTTTGAAAGGGAGCCACTTGGACGAGGTGAAACGAATGGTGGAAGATTATAGGAAAGGGGCGGTGAAGTTAGGAGGTGAGACGTTGACGATTGGTCAAGTCGCCGCCGTCGCTAGAGGAGGAGAAGGAGGAGTTACGGTGGAGCTGGCGGAGGAGGCTCGTGCCGGAGTCAAGGCGAGTAGCGAATGGGTGATGGAGAGCATGAACCGAGGAACCGACAGTTATGGAGTCACAACAGGGTTTGGTGCTACTTCCCATAGAAGAACCAAACAAGGCGGTGCACTTCAAAATGAGCTTATTAGGTCAGTTTTTTTTTGTCGATACCTTATATTAGGTAATAATATATTCTCTTACTATTTGTTCTCGTTTCTATTATGTCTTAAAATTAAATGTGTTAGACTATTTTTTTAGACTGGCTAGTAAAACAAAGTTTAAAATCTTGAATTGATGGTAGTAGTACTCCTAAAGTTTCAGATAGGTAAAGAAATTAATTATAGAACATTTTTCTCAAGAATTATTGTAAATTGAAATTAAATGCGTTGAAAATTTAAACTAGTTAAGAAATTTTAGATCCATAAAGTTATTAATAGAAAAAGCAAGATTTTGATTCGGGTATGAAAATGGTGAGACAAGTTTAAAGTTTGTTCTTGGTGATCTCTTTTTCGCCTAAAAATTTCCTAATTTTTGGCAACTATTTTTTTTTTTTGACTTCACAGTTTGTGGTACTGATTTTAATACTTAGGTGAATATCTTTTTTTCTGGCAGCACTGATTAGCTGAATAAGTTGTTGTTTGGCAATAATAATTAGGTGAAATTAGTTACACACAACAGTCGTGGACGCTAAAATACTTGCTTCATACACCAAACTTTAATTTATTCATAATTTTATAGTAGTATAACTTATACTGTATAAGATAAGATAAAAATCCGGTCATTATCAACAATTAATACTTGTCAAGGACGAAATTAACTGTACCGTACAATTAATGACTCGAGCAGGTTCTTGAACGCCGGAATATTTGGCACCGGCGCCGGAGACACGTCACACACGTTGCCAAAGCCGACGACAAGAGCGGCAATGCTAGTCCGTGTTAACACTCTCCTCCAAGGCTACTCCGGTATACGCTTCGAGATTCTCGAAGCCATTACAAAGCTTCTCAACCACGAAATCACTCCGTGCCTCCCTCTTCGTGGCACCATCACGGCCTCCGGTGACCTTGTACCTCTCTCTTATATAGCCGGGCTCCTCACCGGCCGTCCCAACTCCAAAGCCGTGGGTCCCTCCGGTGAGACTCTCACTGCCCCTGAGGCCTTTAAGCTGGCCGGAGTATCGTCTTTTTTCGAGCTTCAGCCTAAGGAAGGACTAGCACTTGTGAACGGGACAGCGGTTGGATCGGGTTTGGCTTCGACGGTTCTGTTCGATGCAAATATTTTGGCTGTTTTATCGGAAGTTATGTCTGCCATGTTTGCAGAGGTTATGCAAGGGAAACCGGAGTTTACCGACCATCTTACGCATAAACTCAAGCACCATCCCGGTCAGATCGAAGCGGCCGCAATTATGGAACATATATTAGACGGAAGCTCTTACGTTAAAGAAGCTCAACTTCTCCACGAAATGGATCCTCTTCAAAAACCTAAACAAGATCGGTAATGTATCTTGTTCTTCATGTAAACTGATATTGTGTGTTGAAGTTGATGTTTTCATGTGTGATGTACGCTGAGTAGTGTTTCCTGTTATATTTAGCTGAGTAGTGTTTCCTGTTAAGTTGTAGGTATGCTTTACGTACGTCGCCGCAATGGCTTGGCCCGCAGATTGAAGTGATTAGGGCGGCGACTAAAATGATTGAGCGTGAGATCAATTCGGTTAACGATAACCCTTTGATCGATGTGTCGAGGAACAAGGCATTGCACGGTGGGAATTTTCAAGGGACACCGATCGGTGTTGCCATGGATAATTCCCGTCTAGCTATTGCTTCCATTGGGAAACTCATGTTCGCGCAGTTTTCTGAACTGGTGAACGATTTCTACAACAATGGTTTGCCTTCTAATCTATCTGGTGGGAGAAACCCTAGTCTTGATTACGGGTTTAAAGGCGCGGAAATAGCCATGGCTTCTTATTGCTCCGAGCTTCAGTTCTTGGCTAATCCGGTGACCAACCACGTCCAAAGTGCAGAGCAGCATAACCAAGACGTTAATTCCCTAGGGCTGATCTCGAGCCGGAAAACCGCAGAAGCAGTGGATATCCTCAAGCTAATGTCCACGACTTACTTAGTCGCGCTTTGCCAAGCTGTTGATCTAAGACATCTCGAAGAGAATCTAAAAAAAGCGATTAAATCCGCTGTGAGCCAGGTGGCGAAACGGGTCTTAACCGTTGGTGCCAACGGTGAGCTACATCCGTCAAGGTTCACTGAACGTGATGTCCTCCAAGTGGTTGACCGAGAATACGTGTTCTCATATGCAGACGATCCTTGCAGCCTCACTTACCCGCTAATGGAGAAACTTAGACACATTCTTGTAGACCACGCTTTAGCGGATCCAGAACGCGAGGCCAATTCCGCGACATCAGTTTTTCAGAAAATCGGAGCCTTTGAGTCCGAGCTGAAACTGTTTCTCCCTAAAGAAGTGGAACGTGTCCGGGTTGAGTACGAGGAAGGATCCTCGGCTATAGCTAACCGGATTAAGGAATGTCGGTCTTATCCGCTGTACCGGTTTGTCCGCAACGAGCTAGATACAGAACTGCTCACTGGAGAGAATGTTCGGTCGCCGGGAGAGGAGTTTGATAAAGTGTTCTCGGCGATTTCTGATGGAAAGCTTATTGATCCGTTGTTGGAATGTCTCAAGGAGTGGAACGGAGCTCCGATTCCGATCTGTTGAAAATCTTTTTTGATAGATCTCCATCCAAGATTCTTACCAACTTTTTAAATTTACTTTTACAGGATTTGTGTTTTATATATTTCTTGATTTCCACGACATTGAACATTGTCAAGAATTCGAAACCTATAAGAAGATGTTTGTTTGTATGTTGAATGCTGTGTCTTTTTAGTATTCTTTTGATCCATTATGATAAAAACCGCAATGGAGTTTGTTGTTAATCATGTGTTGGTATACTGGGGATTGGACCAATTTGAGCCTAAGTCATATGTTGGGTTTTACTTTTAGTGCTTGTCTAGACACAGTTTTTGGTCTGGACACAGAATTTGTGTATACAGAGTTAAAAGACGTGTTTTTATCTCATGCTTGGATACAAAAAATAGAGAAGAAAATCTTGATTTTGGAAAAAAAAGACGAATTTGGTGACTACTTATTAATAATTTAATAAGTGTTGTTGGCAGCAAAACACGATAAATAGTTTCTCGGCACCGCTTCTTTGTTTTTCCACAAGTGAAGAAGAAGAGAGAAGGAGCAGACGAAAAAATGGCGACTCTGTCTTCCTACCTATTATCTTCTCCTCCTCTATGCAAATCCCGATTCTCGGCAACAAGTCTCGTCTCGGGAATTGATTTCATCTCTTTCTCTCCTCGAACAACTCTCTCCTCATCCATTGTCTCGCCGGCGATTCTTGCTCTCTCCGTTAAACATAATCGCCGGAGAAAGTCGCTTCAAGGTTCGAATTCTAAAGTTTCCTTTTTATTTATTGGAAGGATTGGATTAGCTTAGCTTCTCTTGTTTCTGATTTTGATTTCTGGGTTTCAGTGAAATCAGTAGCTAGCCCAACAGAGACAGTGTCGGAATTCGAAGAGATGGTCTCCGGCACAAAACGAAAGTATTACATGCTCGGCGGGAAAGGAGGAGTGGGCAAAACTAGTTGTGCTGCTTCTTTAGCTGTCAGATTCGCCAACAATGGACACCCAACTCTTGTTGTATCTACAGATCCAGCACATTCTTTGAGCGATTCTTTTGCTCAGGTAAACGAGTAAATTTTTGTTAAAAAAGTGAAGACTTTGTTTTTGTTTGATGAAGATATATATGATTGGATTGGTGTTTCTATTGTTTTTTGTTGATTTTTTAGGACTTGACTGGGGGAATGCTTGTCCCTGTAGAAGGACCTGAAGCTCCTTTATTTGCTCTAGAAGTATGTGTTTGGAGTTACGTTTGGGGCTTTTTTTGGTTTTTGTGGTGATTATCTTACACTCAAATTTTGAGTTTTAATTTATAGCTCTGCAACAGATAAACCCTGAGAAGGCCAGGGAAGAGTTTCGTAGTGCCTCGCAGATGAATGGAGGAACTGGGGTGAAAGATTTTATGGATGGTATGGGACTTGGGATGCTTGTAGAACAGGTAAAATGTGTTTTAAGTGGGTCTTAATGGCTAATCTATCATGATGTATTCCCCTGTGGTGTTTCTAATATACTTAATCAAGGTGTCTCAAATGGATGTGATTGCCTCTTACTGTTCTGCAAATAATACTGACTGTGGTTTTTTGGTTGATGAAGTTGGGGGAGCTAAAACTTGGAGAATTGCTCGACACACCGCCTCCTGGATTGGATGAAGCCATTGCCATTTCTAAGGTATTTCCGCTATTCTATATGATCCTTCTTTTTATGGTCTTGATATGTCGTGTCTCTTGCTGATTGTCAAGGGTATTCACAGGTCATTCAATTTTTGGAATCACCTGAGTATAGCATGTTCACCAGAATCGTTTTTGATACTGCACCAACGGTGAGCAAGCTTGACTGAAATTTTCCTTGCTTTTTAGTGCAAAATATTAAAGACAGGGTTTATTGCTAATTGCAGGGTCATACGCTAAGGCTACTCTCTTTACCTGATTTCTTGGATGCGTCCATTGGTAAAATCTTGAAGGTGGGAAATGTTGATATACCATTTCCTTTAAACTCTTATTTTAGTCTGTTTACAAAAGTTTCAATCTCTTTCTCAGAGTTTGTCTTCTTACATACATTTTCTGTATCTTCAGCTTAGACAGAAAATAACCTCAGCTACTTCAGCGATCAAATCAGTCTTTGGTAAAGAAGAAAACCGGCCTGATGCTGTAAGTCTTTGTACATATGGGCTGATATAGTATTCCTGTTTTTCATTCGTTTAAAATTTCTTTATGGATGTCACAGGCCGACAAATTGGAACGACTAAGAGAAAGGATGGTTAAAGTTCGCGAGCTTTTCCGTGACACAGAGTCAACAGAATTCGTCATTGTCACTATCCCTACGGTAATATCTGCACATGCATCTCCTTAGATGTCCTCCTATCTTCAAGAACAAAATCAATTGGCTGAGAATTTCTATCCAATGTTGGTCTTAAGTTGGCATCTCACTGCTCATTACTGTTTGTTTATCTCATAAAGGTAATGGCTGTCAGCGAGTCTTCTAGGTTAAGTGCTTCCTTGAAGAAGGAAAGTGTTCCCGTCAAAAGACTCATTGTTAATCAGATTCTCCCGCCATCCTCCTCAGACTGCAAGTTTTGCTCAATTAAGAGAAAGGTATACACACAAACACAAACTTCTCATGAACTAATGGTCTCTTTAAACCAAAGATCGGTCTTGCCTAGTCCTTAAACGACAAAGTGCTTCTGTTCTGTGGTTTAAAAGAAGCATGCATGAAAAACATGAATAATGAATATGCAGGATCAAATGCGGGCTCTTGATATGATCCGGGAGGATTCAGAACTCTCTGCTTTGACACTGATGGAGGCTCCACTGGTTGATATGGAGATCAGAGGTGTCCCTGCTCTGCGCTTCTTGGGTGATATCATTTGGAAATAAGATCATTAGCACATTATCAACACAAGGATGAAGAACAAGCAGGTTCACTTGTATGAGATAGTGTTGGTTAATACATTACATAGTTTTTGGTACAGATGTTGATATCGTCCTTGATGGGTTTGGTCTTTGGGTAAAAATGAATATTGACAAGTTTTCCAAACTGTTAACAAATTCAGTATTTACGACAGATTGGTGGTTGTAAAATGTTCAATTAAAACTTTAGTACTTTTAAATAAAAATATAGCAATTCTTGGGGAGCAACGCCGCAAGATATGTACATAGTAATCCCGTGAAGAATAAGGACCTAAAATAAGCCATTGCTTTACATAAATAAAACAGCAAGGCTTCACCTTTTACACAACCAAAAGGAGAGATTTTTAATTTAAGCCAGTTGAGATCCAAAATACATTTATTTACTGACTTAAATCTAAAACCCTCTATTTTATTTACAAATTATTTGCAAAATATATATAACAGGAACCAACTTGAGATGCTTTGCTTAGTTAGGCTGTACAGATAGCTCTCGGTCATCAGCTTGTACCTCTCTCTGGTTGTGTTATAAATTAAGAAGCTTGAGGTTTTACTTACTCAGAGATGGTTAAGGAGTAGCGTTTGCTGCAAGAGATGACGAGAGCCCGATTCTTCTCTCTGCAGAAAAAAGAAGAGTGATTCATGATCATGATCATGACCTGTGATTTTGTACAAGATTGAAGAAATGTTTACCTCCAGTAGTGATAAGTTTCTCAACCCGGGCAACGATATGTTTCCCATATGTGTATCTCTTCAAGGCATTCAAGTGTACTTTGATGCGAGAAAGAATGAGTGCAAGACTTTGATCATCGCATGTTTCAAGAACCTTCTGCACTACGTAGTTCCCAAATGGGTCCTTCATCATCGCCTGCAAATTGTTCCAACTTTAGTGGGAATTTTTTGAGACATTGCAGAAAGACAGGGAGTTAGATTGCAGACCTGAAGAGGCTCGTTTTCATCAGTGTAACCAAGCATCTCATTCACTAGTACCTGACGTTCCTCTGGACCGCCAAATGTTAAGCACTTTTCAACAACATTAGAAGCAAACTTTTGCTGACTCATCTTCACAATCTGTCCAGCAAGCTTATTGATAATTTCTGACCGTTCATGAGGTTTACCGTGTTGTATGATATGCTACAGCCGGAAACAAAAATAATCGTTATCATTGTGTCCATCTTCATGGAACAGAAACGTCAATTAAGCTTCAGAACCTTACCTGAATAACATAATTTCCGTACTGATCTTGTGCTAGAGTACAGACTGAATCCATGATTTCCTCCATAATGATCCGTTGGGTTTCTATGTCATCAATATGCTCCAGTACCCTCTGATGCGATTCGAAAGAAGTAGATTACAAGCATCATTAACTGTTGACAAAAAAAATTGGAACATGGATCCTATGATCAAGAACCTCTAGGATGAGATGTCTCGAACCTGGATTACACGGCATCCATAAGGGTGTGTTGAAAGAGCTAAAACTTTTCCGTAGAACGAGGAAATGATGAACTGTATCCAATCCTGAGGAAGACGTTCTATACACTTCTGGATCACATGATTACCGTTCTGGTCATGAACGCATTTCATGACAGACCCATCAAGCTCTTGCACCATTCGAGCTTGCTGCTCCAATTCAACCACCTCTAACGCCTGTATCCATATTGCAGAAACAAGATAGAGACACGCTCAGAAAAGTCAAACACCTTTGTCTGTAAAACCCTAAACCACTAAATAAAAAGAAATCGGATCAAACAATGTCTTCAAACTAAGCACCTTTTGGATAACCCTGCAGCCATACATTTGTAGAGAAAGAGCCAAAACATGGCCTGTTACTTGTTCAGCGAGTTCTTTTCTCTGCTTGTTTGTACCATGCTCGAAAAACTGGAACAAAACCAGAACAACATATGAGTAAACTGACACATCTAGCGATGTGTTGGAATGATTTAGAAGCTACAGCTCGTACCTTTTGAATGACATAATTTCCAAAGACATCTGTCATTAAAGTGCGGCCGTAAGGAAGTATCTCAGGGAATATTGCATTCTTTTCCTCATCCGTTGCAGTCTCAAGTTTCTGCTGAATGAAACGACTTCCGTACTGATCCATGCTGCAAGTGGTGTGAAATCCAAACAAAAGTGAACTAATAACCTTGAATGATGTATATTAGATAAGGTAGGGTAAATACCTAAACTCAATCACATGACCAACTATTTCTGAAAGCTCCAAAGACCTTGTCTTGTTGTTCTTAAACCCCTCTAGTAAGGATGCTTCTGCCGTGCTGCCAATATCTACATGGGATGATCCCTGTAAGCCTCCGAAAGGAACTTTCATCATTGAGGCAGATTGTGACATACGTATGTTCTGGAAATTTCTTGCATTCTTGGAAGGAGAAGGCAAATGGTTTCCTAGATACATGTTGCCAAGATCATATGAAGGACTCTCAAAAAATCTAGAATTTGCAGCATTGAGGTTACCCAGCTGTTGCCTGTTTTGAGCAAGTAACATCGCGAGGTATTCATTAGCTGTATCTCCGTTTGAAGTCCCAAAATTGTTTCTCATAAGAGAATGATCGGTTGGTGCAGCAGTAGAAGATGCCGTATGCAGATACTGGCTGTAAAGTGGGTCCATAACTGGAGAGTGAAGCTCAGAAGCAACTTGATTTATCAATCTGTTCAAGCTTTGTCTATCCCCTTCCCCAGTCAAATGTGAGCCTGAAACATAAGGGATAAAAAAAGGTTCAATCTAAGGCAATACAATGTTCTGTTTGTGTATATGAGAGTGAGAGATAGAGACAGAGATATAGAGAGCAAGAGAGAGGAAGGAGTGAGAAACCTTCAGCGGAATAGTGCTCAGCTAATGAATTCAACTTGTTCTTTGCCAAATAACCACCAGCTGTGGAAAAGTCTGTTCCATTAATATTTGCATTCCGAATATTGACATCAGATAAGCCCAGGCTTCCTAATCTAGAATGTTCTGAAGTTGAGTAAAGACTCGCTGAAGAGGAGGTTCGTTTAGGGATGTTGACCTGTCCATGGGAACCCACTGTAGAAGCTCCAAGACTTGTTCCATACCCACTCATTCCACCATAATTTGCAGAAAACAAGTGATCTTTTGATTCTGCCGTAGCAATATTTTGTTGCCGCAAAGCCTTCTTATGACCATTGGGTATGTAACGCATGACATCAGATTGATTCTCCAATTCCACTTGAAGCTGTGACTGCATATGGTTTTCTTTTACTTGACTCATCTCTGACATGTTCAACCTCGACAATGTGTCGGCAACATCGGCAGCAGTGTAAGATTCAGAGTTTTGGATGGCTGTGCCAAAAGTATTCTTTTTCTCGACAGGACCGACCCTGGTACCAATAGGGGGAAGGCCAGAGGCCGGAGATCGCCCTACTAGATGTGAGTCAGGAGTTCTATTTCTTGGCACTGGGGAACTTATGGTGGACCCAAGCATAGTATTTGGACTGTTTTTGGCAGTAGAATGTAATGATTCATGGAATGCTAATGGGCTGTCGAATCCACCCGCACTGAAATTCGATAAAACAGCAGAATCTTTCATGTCCCGAAAAGTGTTGCAGCTTGCAGGCCGAGAGAGTTGGCTGCCTAAGGTTGCATCCCGTTCAAGTCCTTCCTGTAAAAGTTCCAATCAATGAAGTAGGAAACCAAGTACTATTCAGATACCTCACAACCAGTATATATTCAACAGATTAAGCACCAATGTATAGACATTACCTGAAGTATATCGGCGAAACTCTTCCTTCTCGGTCCAAGCCCGGGATATCCAGATAATCCAATAAAGTCTTCTCTGCCTTGATCTAGCCGCTGCACCTTCTGAGAGCGGCCCTGAGCTACAGCATTCCTCAGTTCCATCAAATCATTCTCTGCCTGCTCAACTGGAACCCCTGGCTGAACCGAGAAGAGCGATGAGGAGTTGTCGACTTCAACCGCTTTCTTCCTCCATTCCCCAACAGGATCAAACACAGACTCACTGTTGTGAAACCTTTGAGCAACCCTCCAATCCTCTCTAGACAATAACGGAGGAGGCAACCTCGGATTCGAATGTTCATTCGAATAGTAATAAGAGAGATACTCAGGGTGCCAACGTAACTCATCATCAGACAAAAGCTCAACGCCATTGCTAGTGCTAAAACTGTTAACATTCCCAACATCTCTATGATCAGAGTTATTATTGTTCAAGTACTGATTATCCATAGCCCTCAACAAACCTTCCACCGTAGGAGGCGCGCTTCCGCTTCTGTGAACATCAATGTCTCGTTCTCGTTCTCGCTCTCGGCCAAATGTTTGCCGATTACGATGTTGTTGGAGCAAAGATTCGAGCTCCCTCTGGAATCGATCTTCGAGATCCACATTGGATCCTCGATTTACACTTGTCAAATTTGATCTCGTATCCATGTAGCTATCAGTAACCATCTCTTCCTTTCATCCGAATCAATATTAGACCTAATCAAATCAACACCTGCAAAAACCAGAAGAAAAAAAAAAAAAAACCAAAATCGTGTCGGTGTTACGAAATCGGAGAAGAATCCATCAATTCTGAAAAAGAGTGATGATCAGAATCCGATCGCGAATCTAAGTAATGAATCACCTCTCTCTCGATTTTCAATGTCGACGGAACGATAAGGTTCTGTCTTCGTTGGTCACGCAGAGAGAAAACGCAGAGGAGAGACCATTGTCTGAGAGAGCGAGTGAGATAAGAAAAGAAATGGAAGTGAGGACGAATGAGAAAATGGGGATTCAAAGAATGAGAGACGAATAAGGTAAAGACAAAAGAGGCAAAGCATGGAACTCTGAGATCGCCTTCATCCTCTGGTAATTCTCCCAAACTGTCACTTACCTTTTTTGTTTTTTGTTAATTTTAATGATAAACTAAATCTTAAAAGGTAATTAGAAGCGGCTATTACGACACCGTATGGATCTCTTTATCTGATTGATGGACAAATTACATAAAAGGATGATTAATTAATGATTAAATTTGTCACCTAAACCAAGAATCTCTTATTAATCTAGAAAATGAACAATCACAATTCTTTCGATTATTTTTTTTAATCAGAGAGAGAGAAAGACCAAAGGAAGATTTTACTTTTCGTTTGTCTGATTAGTCTGATATTCTAATTTTAATTTAGTTAGCCATTTTCCGTACCTGTCATTCATTTATTTTTGATAATTTAATTTTTTTATAGAATTTTAATTACTAATGATTACTTTTGTATGATTTAACTCTATTCAATAATGACCAAATTTATAAATTAAATTACATCTTACTTACTTAAGATATTCCAAAACATTTCCAATCTGAATAGAGCAAGATTCCAACATTTTAAGAACTAGTACAAACTCACCTGCAAATCCTCCATATTTTGAATGATTATTTTCAATTGACAAGTTGTTAGTCTCATTTACCAAATTAACTCGCACAAATTACTTCTAATTTTTTTTTTAATCAAACACAATAGTACAAAACAGTTTTTAATCAAAAACTAAAAAAGCCTATAAAAAAAATCTCTTGCATCCCACTCAAACTTATACCTTGGAACTCGGAACTCTCTATTTTATGTCAAATGACTAAAACATCCCCACTCCACTTACCCTCTATGTATGGTAAGCTGTGAGGGTGAAACGGTAATTTAAAACGATATAGTTTCCATTACAGAGGATTCCATTTCCATTTTTGATATCATTCGCAATCATTTTCTTCTTCTTCTTCCCATGATCGCCTCGCTTCCCAACGCAATCTTCTTCACCCAATCTCTGAATCTCTCCACAATTCCATGTCTGTCGCTTCTATTCGCCGTTTAGCCGCCGGAGCCGCTGTAATTGCCGCTGCATCCGGTGGCGCTGTCTACCTGTCTCCGTCGGTTGCCTCCAGCGACAAAGGAGGTGGTCCGATTCTAGATTCGTTGAGGCGTAGGATTGGTGATCCCACCGCTTCTGTGCCGTCTCGATCTGCTCAAGAGTCTGCTCTGATTTCAGCCACCGCTTCTGATCCGCTCGATGTTCTCGTCATTGGCGGTGGAGCCACTGGTTCTGGAGTTGCTCTTGACGCTGCTACACGTGGCCTCCGTGTTGGTTTGGTGGAGCGAGAGGATTTCTCCTCCGGGACTTCTTCGCGATCAACAAAGCTGATTCATGGAGGTAATTTTACGTTTTGAATTTTGTATGTGGCGTTGGGTTTCCCAATTTTGGTATAAGAAGCTCTCTGAATTGTCGGGTATTGTGAAACAATTGCTTAGTCTACTAGTTGGAATTGAATAGTATGATCATCCATTTGGCGCTCACTATCATTGTTTACTCAATTGGCGAATTTAGATTGAAGATTTTCAAAAATTGGTGAATGTTTGGTTGTTACTTGATTTTCTCTCTGTCAATGTTCTTTAGTTATCGTTTAGACTGTTCTTGATTAGGGGTTCGTTACTTGGAGAAAGCTGTTTTCAATCTTGATTATGGACAGCTGAAGCTTGTATTTCACGCGCTTGAGGAGCGTAAACAGCTCATTGAGAATGCGCCACATCTCTGCCATGCTTTGCCCTGTATGACACCTTGTTTTGACTGGTTCGAAGTTATCTACTTCTGGATGGGGTTGAAAATGTATGATTTGGTCGCTGGACCACGGTTATTGCATCTGTCCAGATATTACTCTGCAAAAGAGTCTATTGAGCTCTTCCCCACTCTTGCAAGGAAAGGGAAAGACAAGAATTTGAGGGGTACTGTTGTGTATTATGACGGGCAAATGAATGATTCACGTCTGAATGTGGGCTTGGCATGTACTGCCGCGTTAGCTGGTGCAGCCGTTCTCAACCATGCCGAGGTTGTCTCTCTTATTACAGATGATGCTACTAAGAGAATTATTGGTGCCCGAGTTCGTAACAATCTCACAGGTAAGATGACAAGCAATTTCTTGAATTCAGTATACCACTGCTCTTCATTATTAGTGCAGTTTTTGATGAGATGTTTCAATTTGACAGGCCAAGAATTTAACACCTATGCAAAAGTAGTTGTTAATGCGGCAGGTCCGTTTTGTGATTCCATTAGGAAGATGATTGATGAAGATACAAAACCAATGATTTGTCCAAGCAGCGGTGTACACATCGTGCTGCCTGATTACTATTCTCCTGAAGGGATGGGGTTGATAGTCCCTAAAACTAAGGATGGTCGCGTTGTGTTTATGTTACCATGGTTGGGAAGAACAGTAGCAGGCACTACAGACTCTAACACTTCAATCACTTCACTTCCAGAACCTCATGAAGATGAGATTCAATTTATACTGGACGCAATCAGTGACTATCTTAACATTAAGGTATGTCCAGATTCAGCTTAAAGATGAAGAATCAATTCAATTTGACCATATATCTATCTTAAACAATTCAGTTGATGATATTATCTATCATAAATTTTCAATAGGTTCGACGTACTGATGTTCTTTCGGCTTGGAGTGGTATCCGTCCGTTGGCAATGGATCCAACAGCCAAGAGCACAGAGAGTATCTCCAGAGACCACGTTGTCTTCGAGGAAAATCCTGGTCTGGTTACAATCACGGGTGGAAAGTGGACAACTTATCGAAGGTGAGGGAAGTGTAAAACATAGCAGAATGTTGTTAAAGTTTGTTATTATTGCTCATCAGTAATTTGTTTCCAGCATGGCGGAAGATGCAGTTGATGCAGCAATCAAATCGGGAAAACTTAGTCCAACCAATGAATGTGTAACGCAGAAACTACAGCTTTTGGGTTCTTATGGATGGGAACCATCTTCCTTCACAATTCTTGCACAGCAATACGTGCGCATGAAGAAAACCTACGGTGGTAAAGTGGTCCCTGGAGCAATGGACACAGCTGCTGCAAAGCATTTGTCTCATGCCTATGGTTCAATGGCTGACCGAGTTGCCACCATAGCTCAGGTCTGGTTCAATATCAGACTCGTCCTTCTTCATGTCCTCAGTCGATAACATTTTGGTTTTTCGGATTGCAGGAGGAGGGTTTGGGGAAACGCTTGGCGCACGGGCATCCGTTTTTGGAAGCCGAGGTTGCTTATTGTGCAAGGCATGAGTACTGCGAATCAGCGGTTGATTTCATAGCGAGGAGATGTAGAATCGCGTTCTTGGACACTGACGCAGCGGCTCGGGCGTTGCAGCGTGTGGTGGAGATTCTAGCAAGTGAACACAAGTGGGACAAGTCGAGGCAGAAGCAAGAGTTGCAAAAGGCTAAAGAGTTTCTCGAAACTTTCAAGTCTTCCAAAAACGCACAGTTTAACGATGGCAAGCACAACTAAAGCGGCCTCTCAGAAATTTACTTACACTGCTTTATTGAATTTATTATTTCCTATTTTCAAATTTGTTGGATTTTTGGGTAGCGATTCGCGAGAACGAATAATAATAACAATACTGTACGGATGGAATAATAATACTGCGGCTACTCATGTTTCTCGGATTAAACTATTAGCCCCACACGAGGTTTGTTTTTGTATTCTAAATGAAGAAGAAGATGACCTAAGACGGGTCGGATGTTTTAACGGGAAATGGGCAAGAGCTAAAAGACTCTGAGTCAGCTAGAGTGTCTTCAACAGTTGGGAAGACTCAAGTTTATTGCATCTCTTAACCTCAAGAGTCTAGAGCTATATTCCAGTGGAGTACGAGATTTGAGATTCTAAACCCAAGTCAGAAACAAGTTTTAGGTTCAATTCTGAACAACAGAGTCACAAACCAAAAGCCAAAAGGAGAATCTCTGATTTCACCTTGTGGTCTGTGATTCGAAAAAATGGAAGATGAATAGTAAAATATTTTGTGGCTTTCTCTCTGTTTTTGTTTTCACTTGGAAGAATATGGACTTACCTTGGAAGGTTTTATACAACGGAAAATCTCTACCAAAGAATTTTCACAAAACAAAGCTCTCAAAGAAAAGTCTTGGTTCCGCATTAGACAAATACTCACGAAACTAGACAAGAGTTAAAAAAGAACAAAACAAAAAAAAAAATGAAAAATTGAGATACTCACGAAACCAAACTCTTGTGGCAGTAAGAAGCACGAAGAAGATATACATTTTCTGTCTCCTGCTTCTCCTTTAGGATTTTACCATTAGGATTTTTACTGCAGCTTATGAAAATCATGAAACAAATTGGCTGCTGGAGAAGCTTTCGTTTAATCACGGTAATCCGTGAATGGCTCGAGGAGTTGACATTAGTGAGAAAGAATTTCCAAAAGGCGTGATTGAGCATCTGAAGGGGTATCTCTTCCAGGAACATTGACCTTCAGAAGATTGGAATACCTGCAAGCCAAAGAATGTGATGTTTAGTCCAAAAATTAACTATATTAGCCCCATTCTTGTGTTTATTTCGATGAAGTTAGGTTAAAGGAAATAAAGTTGAGAAGCAGACTCTGTGGGTGTAAACATTTGGTCGTGTTCTGCTATGAAAGCGAGCAACGCCTGCAGAAAATTAAGTAAACATTTGAGTCTCGTTTGGTATTCGGGTCATAATAATGCTGAGAAACCCAAAGGAAGAAACCAAGAGAAAAACAATCTCCCTTTTTGCTTACTTCGAATGGCATGTTTAACAGTTCAAAGTAAGTACGGACACGATCTAGGTTCTGTTGTACGGTTTCACCATCGATATATGGAATAGCTGCCATGGCCTGCAGTGTAAATACACACAAATTAAGATAGTGAATGCTGTTGGAAATCATTAAAAATAGTTAACTAA